AATTTCACAGAGACCTCGCTGAGGCAGGAAGAACATGATTACCAAACTCAGGCGCAAAGCGAGATTCAAAGATTCCCAAAATTCAGAGATGTTCAGTCCTGGATGTTGGGTTTGCACCCATCACCACAACCCTACGATCGCTGGCACCATTTGGCAAAGGCTTCATCTTAGGTTTGTTGTGGCAGCCCAAAGGAGCCATGGTGAGGTCACTCACTGCACCTGGATTTCCTTAGCAGCACTTCATCCAGTTCTGGGCTGAAGAGGAAAGGATGGGAAGAGAATTGGACAAAGAATCAAGTAGCAGAAGAGTATGGCAGGTGCTAAAGGTGATAAGAAAATGGAGATTACAGGAAAATGAAGGAATTACATAAGTTTGGGATTTTTATTTTTACAAGAAAAGGAGAGAAAAGGAAATTACATGGAAAGGAAAAAATGAGGAAATCAGGAAGAAGAAGGGAAAGAAGTAATATAGGAAAGGGCAGAGAATAAGTAGGAAAAATAGACTGTTGATATACTTTAATTCTATTTTATTACACTTTTTCCAGTGAAGATGGGCAAACTTTGCTTTCAGGGAGATAGTCAGTGCCTCCTCTTGGAAAGGGAGGAGCTCACTGGCACTTTATTTTTCCTGTTATGCCTTTTGAGAGCAGGGTTTACAATCACTAGGGAAGCTGAAGCAGGAAGCTGCAGACGTCCAGGCAGCAGGGAGGAGCTCTGCCTTGCAGGCAGACCCTGGGGACCTGTTCAGGGCCAAAGGTGACTTTCCCTCTCACCTAAAGCTAGTTGGAAGGGAGATGGCACAGAGGTGATGCTGTGCTCCTGAAGTCAGAGGCAGCTGGGGCTCTCCAGGCTGCTGCACTGCATGTGGCCAGATTTTCTGCTGAGCAGGAGCTGCACATACGGGAAATGCCACAGGGCTTTTCACTTTGGCTGAGCCTCCTGTCAGCTCACTCTCCAACTGTTCGAGCTGTAGACAGAGACTCTCAGACAGGGCTCAGCTTCTGCTCTTTTTAGGTGCTGTAAAGAGGCCAAAACACTTGAACCTCTGGCGTAATAACTTTCCCTGTGGTTATACGCTTATGTCATAAATTTGATGTTATAATGTCAATGAAAGCTGATGAAAAGAGCAGCAAGGCAGAGAGGAAGGAACCCTAAAATGTTGACATTTATCTCAATGAGAAACTGTATCCAGAAAGAACAGTCGGGCAATTGATTTTGTAGAGAGGAGCTCTCTTCAGGCTCGTGCACTGTTCCCCCTTCAGCACATGTCTGCAGTGTGAGGGCAAAGCAAGGCAATGGCAAATTACAATAATCTAACATGGCTGCAGAACTCACCTAGGCTTTTTAATTTTTTCTTTCTAACCATAATGACTGAACAGCCTGAAGGAGATTTCTTTATCCTACAACCTGGAATTTGGAGCAACTGTAGCTTGTGTAGCATTGACAATCCACAGAGCAGATGAATTTGCTTCCCTCTGGCTACATGCTTATTCTAGGTAATTCCAAAGGGCAGATTTAAAATATGTTCATCTCTTACAAGATCATGCTAAAAACCCATTCAGTTGCATGGAGACCCAGAAAGCAGGTCACCATTCCCATGGTTCTGAGCTCAGCACCTCACACTAGACCCAAAGAGGCAGCCTTTAAGGACAGACATGTCCACTACAAACAAACAGAAATGTCTAAATTCCTTTAATGTAGTCTGTACTCAGCCAAAAGATGGTAGAACCAAACCTCTGTGAAGCTAGTAGGGAGGAGCCACATGAGTCCAAGACATCAAGCTTTCCTAACAAGACATAAAAAAAGTGAGGTCCAAAGCAGTGCCTACAGCATCAGGTGACAATGACAGGCCCTGTTGAAAAGAGCCCCCTTATTTTACTTCCACATTTGGCAGGAAACAGGGGATCCATAGTGCTGTGAACCACCCTGATTGACAAAGGTCTCCAAAGTGGCTTTTGAAAATTAGCCCATTACTATCACTGCTGACTCAAATAAGGTCTGTTGGACTCAGAGCTGGATGGCAGCTTTGGCTGCACTGCCATTGCTACCTCTGTACAAATTATCACTTGGTCTTCTGCAATTATTTAATGAATTCGGGGGGAAAGTAGTTCCATTAAGAAAAATGAAATTGCTGCAGAAATTCATGACTAAGGAGAAACATAAATCTCTCCCAGCAAGAGCATGAACCACTAATGTCCTCACTCATCCAGCAGCCAGCAGTCTCCATCCACAAGCAGACATCTGAGAGCAGTTCTGTCCTTCCCCTCAGGAGTCAGCCCCTCATCTCCCTTCTGGACGAGGGGGTGTCCTGGCTTGGAGCATCTTTTGTGCAGGGCAGGCACAGCTGTGAATCCCAGCCAGCAATGGGAGAAAAGAATTTTAGTTTAGGCTTCCCATAAGTCTGTTCTTTCCACTAGTAATTAAAGTGACATTTTCCTTGCCATCTGTAGGATTTTTTGAGGATGCAATTGAAGATCTGTCAACAGCCCTATTTCCAGTAGAAAACAGAGCAAAAAGACTGCCTGCTTCCCTGAGCAGAACCAGAAGAAATTAAAAATGCCAACCCTTGCAAAAATGGGGCTGTTTGCCCTTGCAAGCTCTTGTCACATGAATACTTTAGAAGGAAAATAATATCCTCTAATATTAAATCTTATGAAGAATAAAAATAATCGAAACATTTCACATAGGAAATATGACCTTGAATTAACTAACCTCGTATTAATTACAATAGTAAAAAATCCATTTTAACAAAATTGACTTGCTCCACAAGGAATTTTAAAAAATAATTTGAAATGGTAGGGTTTTTTTAATTCACCAGCATTGCAAAAATTATTTTCTTTTACATTTAACTCCTTCTTTGCCTTTTTTTTAAACTTTTTTTTAATAGGGACTGGTTTTGTAGAGCATATCTGTTGGAAATTGTTGATACCTCTCAGGTTTCAACAACCTGTCAAAACCGAGCACTATCAGAAACATTTATGTGATAATCATCTTTCAGGAGATAATTAAAATAGTGCATATAGGATTAAGTTGGAAAAGGCTGTAGTTTTGATATCATACAAACATACTTCCTTTCTGAGTAAAATAAATATATGGAGACAGGCAGAAGAGGCAAACACGTATTTTGAAAGCATTTGGATTGTTTTCTGAATAATTTAAGACTTAAGAGAATAGATAGTATCAACTTTAGTAGCTAATCACTTTGAAGACTCTAACAGAGAAGCATTACCCAAATACATGCTCATCATTTTGGACAGATATGACAGTCATACTGTTGGAGCGAGTACAGGATCCCAAAATCCCATTGCTAAATGCCACAGAACAGAGGAAAAAAATCCCTAACCTAAAAATATTTCAAAATCAAAGTACATGATACAAATTACAGGCTGCCCACAGACAGAGACAATTGAGAAACAACGGAACAGTGCTGGTCCCTCCACACAAGCAGGTGGGAGGGCAGGGAGAAAGGGCTAAAAGCAGATGCACTCACTGATGCCCTGAAGTGCAAGTCACAGAAGTGTGAACAGGGATACAATAAGAAACCAGGAACACAGCCCTGAAACTATCAGAGAGATAGTCAGGCTTTTTGAGCAGGTAAGGGCAGCTACATGTGCCAGTCATGGATGCAGTCCTGGAAGCTGAAGAGTGATGCTAGAAATGAGGGGAAGAAAAGCAAGAAATGGGAACTGAAACCAAAGGAAGTCGAAGGGGAGTATCTGAATGCTTGGTAGACAACAGCAATACACAAAAGAGATGAGTCTCTTCTTCAAGCAGCACTGCACCTGCTGCAGCCAGGATGAGGGGAAGGAACAGACAGAAGCAGAAGCCCAGGCGTGTCTTCAACTGTGGACTTCAGACCAGCCTTATGCTCTGTGGTAGGGAAGGAAAAGAGCTGCTGCAGACAGAGTGTCAGGTAAAGAATTCAGGTATTTCTGAGAGAATAAAATACACAAAGTTCAGGCATAACTCTTCCTTTATTTTATTTTGTTCTCTTTTTCATTTAAAGTGAAAATGAAGACACTCCTGAGAAAACAAATAAATACAAGAACAAAAGAGCAAGGATGGAAGAGGGGAGAGCTGAAGATTAGCTATAACAATGGCAAAATTGTGTAGAGTTTCCTGGATAAAGAAAGGAGAATCACTTTAACAGTCATCAAACGGATATTTGGCTTAAGACATTACCCACCATTTGCCAATTCAGCTAATACGTTTATCAGGTTTTCATAGAGGAACAAAGACACATTTAACAGCAAAAGTAAGAAACAGAGGAGCAGCAGAGGCACAGATGGGATGGGATTGCTGAAAAGCCCTTTGATCAGTAACCCTAGGGATGAACTTGTAGTATTCCTCATCTATTTCTTCTAAAGGATAACAGTTTAAAATGAAGAAAGGGATCACAAATGCTTTACAATATCCCAGGAGTAGCATCATGTGAGAAGGATGAAAAGGGAATGAGCTGAACCAATTTGCAACTCCTGTTTCCTCTGCTGCAAGTAATGACAAATCACCTACAGTTCCAAAAGCAGAAAACCTAAAAGCACCCCATTTGCAAAAGAAAAAAAAAAAATTAAAAATCAACAAACAGAAGGTGGATAACCAAGCACTCAAACACAGTGAAAACCTGTCACTTGTGTGTTATGGACTCTTATGACTGGATTAACCTTTGAAAGGGTAAGCGTATTGTGCCTTAGCTTCACACACTTCAAGAAGAGGGAGATTAACATCACTATTAAAAAAGTTGTTCCAGTGCTTCTCTGGCCATTTATTTTTCCACATTGCACAGACAGATCAGAAACTGAGGAAACAGGGTTTTTTTGTCTGCATTAGTTGTTGTGTCCCAGCTGGATTCTGTTTATGGCCACAATAACTCTTGTGCTGCTGCACGGGATCAGAGTAACCAGCTGGGATCAAGACCTCTGCCTTCAGTGACAGTGCCAGGTAACATCAGGTTAAAGTGACCCTGAAACCATGGCCTTCAAAGGTCCTGCCTGAGGACAAGTTCCTAACACAGAAATGGTCAGGAGCTCTTGCCATGAGCATAACTCTGAGCAGTGGAACAACATTCCACCAGCTGAGTACCCAGAACCAGGAGATGTGTACTGGAGGCAGGACCAAGGCAGTTTGTAGGTGAGAGCATGTGGTGCATCCTTCCCTGCTGCAAAGCTGGAGTTTCACTCTCTAGGTGTGCATTGTCATTATGTTCCCAGGGTCATGGGCACACATAAAATTATGTACCCCAAAATCCAGATTTTACTGCCAAATATTTTCAAATGCATCTCTAATCGAGAAATCACGAATGTCTGTTGTTAAATAAAAGCCTGTCTCTTCTACATCATGCTTAAACAAAGACACCTTACTAAACAGGAAGAATACATGGAGAATTCACTTTAATACATGTTTATTGGTGTCCTGCACTTTCAGTGTAGGAGGTTGGAGATGTAATAAAAAAGTTTCAAAATTTATTGATTCAATTTCATTTAAATCACTCTAAACAACCAGTGCTTTAGAGTTCAGAGAATTAACATTTACTGTCTGTTACAAGCAAAATTTTAATATTACCTTTTACGAGTCCACTTAGAACTCCTCTTTTAAAATTCTTCAGATACATTCCTCATAGTAAACAATACATTTCAATCTGTGTCACAATCAACATTGATAAGGCCTTCTTAACCATTTTATACCACCTCCACTGTTACTTCATTGCAAAACACAATCTTATTTCATACTATAAATACCCATCCATGCACAAAACACAGGGGTCAGAAGTTACACATTAATATTTCATGTAGGCTTCCAAGTCTTCCTTTACCCTCTGCAGGTTTATGGTACACTTAAAAAGATATCTTTAGACTTGGTCTACTTGGTCTTAAAATACAAATATACAATATCCATAAGCATAAAAAAGTAAAGCTAGATGGCCTTACCATTTGTTATGAACTGCTAAAATCTTATACATGTACAATATAGCATCATGCTGATTAATATACATATTAGTTAAATATATGAGCCAATAATGGGGATGTGGCCAAGCTTTATTGGTTTGTTTTCAAAAAGAAATTTTTCATATACAAGTAAAAAGATTTTTAATTTAAACTCATATAGACTACCTGAACCACACAGACATCTGTAAGCCCTGCTGAGAAATTCAGGTTAAACTGGGACAAAGCCTGCTGATTCATTGGAGAAGGAACACAACTCCTCATGGGTAACACCCACACTGTGCTGTTCCCAAGAGAATGCAAATTTACCAGCATTCACATTTTCAGGTCTAGAACACTAATTTTTGCATCTTACACTGCAGTTAATGCTTTTTGTATCTATTCATCAGCCTCCAGCAGAAACAGTTCAGTACCTTGACATTGTCATAGATTTTTCTAAATAAGTAGATATATAGTACAAAGTGTAGATAGTGAAACGAATAAGCACATATATACAGTCTTTGAAAGGCATTTTTGTGACCAGTTTAGCTGTGTTTATAGAAAACATTTAAGATAGTCACATTCTGCTGATACCACTGTATTGCAAACTGTCAAGCCACATTTCTTATATTAAACTTGTACTGCATTGTATATTGTACAACAGAGAACGAGCAATCTTAAGGTGTGACACAATGAAAAAAAAATACTAGACTGAGTAAGGTAACCAGCACAGGGCTTAATTTTCCTGAGGTTTGTAAGAATTTTTTAAACAAAAATCACAGTGACCAGGCTAAACTGCAAACATACTGTTAAGTTTTAAATATACAGTTTATACATAAGTTCTGTGCATGGTCAACTCAACTGTGTATGTTCATGCTGATGTTTCCTTTAAATGACTCGCCACTGCATAATACTTGTGTCCTTTCCTCCTGTGGAGATGAGATGGGTGTCTTCACACAGAAAATCTACATTAGTTACATGACTACTGTGTCCACCGTACACATGGCTGGGAGCCTAGAAAACACCATATTAGTGAGAATAACAGCTGTCATAAAAGCATCTCGTTAGAACATTCATGCAACAATGAAACCAAGGCATCACATCATTCTCTTAAGGTATTTTAATATTAAATTAACTTTTAAATTTAATTGCTGTCTCAATCAACCTTAAATAAATGCCTTAGATGTATAAATACTTCCATTCTTTTTGTTTTGATGTGTTTGGGGTATTCTTCGTTCATAGGAAAACAACATTTAATGCATTTGAGCAAACTACAAGAGTAAATTTTGGGGAAATATCTTACCCTAAACTGTGAGCATGGATATGAGAAGAGATGTACTTTGCCAAAGTCATCTCCTGTTGATAGCAGTTTTCTCCCATGGGATCGACAGACAGCATTGATGTCTGTACCATCTGAACCTTCAGGCCATACACCTGAAACACAAAGGGACTAATTAAGGGCTTTTATAATGAAAATAAAAGTGACAGCCTAAGCTACTGTTAAAATATTAATAAAGGATGACTTGTTTAAGGAAAATAAAAACTTATAAAAATAACTGCATCTGAGTCAGAATGTGTACTTCCATAAAAGCCTAAGTCCAGATCCTAATAGGTAATCAAGCATATAAAAAAATGCTTTATTCCCCCTAGTCAGCAAAGTGCTTTTTACTCTGAGAAGATACAATCTGCAGAATTACAAGCATGTCTGAGCCCAAAAGAATTTTCATATGGTTATGTGGAGAAGTTACTGCTTTTATTTTCCCTTCTCCTTATGTATAACACATTTCTTTCATATTTCATGGGTATGATTTTTAGACTAGAGTATGATCCAAAAGTAATTTCTTCACATTACAAAAGTCTAAAGTCAATGAAAAAAAGATATTATATAGTTTAAATTATTATTTATTAATCAATAGATCCCTTGAAAAGGAACTGAACCTACTATAAGGTTTTTACATGCTTTTTTTCTACTGTAAGTACTTTTCTTCCTTCCCCACTCTTTGCTGTTCTTGCACAAAGTAGTATCCTAAAAACTGTAAGGTCAACAGTGCAGAGACCAAATCTGTGCACCACATCTTTAAAGCCTCTGAATACTTGTCTGCAATAAATTGCAATTTTACTAAAATCCACACAGTTATTGAAATGTCAGGATTTTGTATGCAATACTGCAGGCTTTTTTTGATTATGATTTTCTAATTTAGATTTTATCTAATCCTTACTCAACATAAAAGGCACCAAGCTTTCAGAGACCATTGTCATCTTCAGTTATACTGCACGTTCTGCCATTATGACTTGGCAAAAACCCTGCCATGTCTTGGCTCTGTGATTTTCAATGCCTGTCCCTGTGTCACCCATCCTCTGCAGTGTGTCCCTGCAGCCCTGCCCACTCGAGTGCACACTCCTCTGGTGCTGCTGCATGTCAGGGTGAGAGAGTTGCTGCTCCCCTACGAACTCCCAAGTTCATCAGCACACTCCAAGTGTCCCAAGAGCACATTCCAGTTCCTCCTTCTTTGGGATAACTTCTAACCCCGCAGTGGGCATTTGCCATGCACCATGGGAACAGCTGTCCTTCAATCACTGGGATTCTTCCAAATACAGCCTTTATATCACTGCACAGCAATTCACTACTAGGAGGTAATTCCATGTCTTTATAAGGAATTACAAATTGCTGTAAATAAAATGCAAAGTCTGATTTATAGACTGTTCTTAACTTTCCTGATATGTATGAAAACAACTGTGTTGCTAGATCAGGGGTAGTAAAACAGGCCCAAAGAAACGGAAATTACAAAGAAATACAATAATTGCTACTTGTGGAATTTTGAATGTGCAGAACAAAGAGACACAGAAAACCTTTTTTGGATATCTGCTTTGACAAGAAAAAGGCTATATGAATATCTAATGTTATCTGAAAAGAGGCAGGAGTCTTCCCAAGAGGTCACTATGACAAGCTGGAAATAACCCCTGAAGGAAATGGTTAAAGAATGGTTAAAGACTGCCATTTTGAAATGGGGAAAGCATAATAGCAGGGCTTTTCTTTGAATCTCTTGGTTCTTTTAAAATTTATCCCAGTGCCTCACTATCCATTTTTCTGAATATGCAAATTGAATTCCCCTTGCTGAAAAAGTAGTCCTTATTTTTTCCCATCCTCTGCAGACCTGTAAAAGAGACCATTTCCTTTCTCTCATTTGAAGACTGATGCTATGATATTTTTTCCTCCTCTTCTCTAAAATTCATTCATTACATCTCTTCCCTCAGAACAATATTTAGATGGATAATTAACTATTCTTGCTAGTCAGCACATTATCTGTTGGTCCAATGTGCAAAAATCAGAAGCAGCCATTCCAGCTGTGACTGAAGCTGATACTGATAAATGGATGATGGCTTCACATTTTGCATGGCATCCTTTTCATTCCACATCTCACTAATGTATCTGCCTTTCCTACAACAGCACAATGCTGTTGACTCATGTTCAGTTCGTATGCAGGAGTAATCTGATGTTTCTGTGCAGATCTGCTCTCATCTGTTCTGCATTTGTACAACTGGGTTCTGCCATTCCAGTGGGGACCCTCCTCTTTGGCTCTGTTGAATTCCTTCTTTTTTTCATACCACTCCTCTTTCTCAAGACAACCTGCTAATCCTGCAGCTTTATATACCTACAAACTTTACATGCTGATTTAGCATGCATGCTATTTAATAAATATATTCAAACAAACACAATATTCAATTTACAGTGTTCTAGTCAGTTTTGAATCCAACCAGTTCTGCTTTGCTTGCCATGTTGTCAGGTTTGTACAGTATCTTAGATTTCTTCTGTTCCTGTCCTTTACCTCAAACGCTATTTTTTCAAAACTGGGCCTGTGCTATGAACTGATACCTTACTTGTGTATCCAACAGCACATGGCTCTTGAAAGAGCTTAAAGATCAGTAAGTGTTTTAAAGTCTTTGCATGACTAAAACATCCTCCCTCAAGCACACTTCTTTACATGCTATTGACTTTCAGCTGAATCATCTCCAAACACTTCCAGGCTGACTAATCTGTTCCCATGCTCAAAGACAGGTGTTCTACAGACCAGTGTTCCTTTTTCCCCTGCATTGGTTATGCTGATCTACTGGTGCTACACATAGTTTGACATTTTTATGTGGTTGTCAGAGAGAGAAAATACTCCTTGTTTCAGTCAGTTATAGCTACTGAAAAATCAATATACTAGAAGCCCCACATCCTGGATGCTGTGATTGCTGCCTCTGTGTCCAGTGAGGCCATCCCAGCAAGCATGTGAAGACTGTTCTAATTGGCTGCTCTGAGGTCCCAAAGTACTGATTGACTTCCAATAAAAACGGACTGGTTTCCAACCCATAATCTACGTGCTTCTTCAATTTATCATTTTAGCCCCTGACTTTGCACTTTAGCCTCTCCATATGGGTTCTGAAGGTATATATATGATCCTGCAGATATTGCATTCATTCTCCAGTTTTCCAGTACTTTGCCTGTTCTCTTTGAGGTGTTGAAAATAAGTACTAATGGTCTCAAGTTGACACTAACCAGTTGTTTTTACAGATACAACAAGGTTCATCACACTCAAATACTTTGAAAATACCTGACTTATTTCAACTTTCCAAACTGCTTCCCTACTGAAAGCAGTAGGTACTAACTGGGTTTGTCATCAAATTGTAGTAAGACTTTTATTAATGAAATATTTTTAAAAGGGTTGGGGATTTTAACACTACAGCTTTACCAGTGTCATCTCTCCTTCCCCCTCAATAGATTACTTTGTCCCATGGTCTGGCTCAGAAAGCTGATCTGTTGCAAGGCATGGGGAGAATCCCCTTCAAGTGTAACATGCCTCTCTCCTCTTACTTTAAATCCACCATAAGCAGCCCCACATTCTAATAGCGCTGTATTTTTCAGGAATCTGAATTTAATAGTAAGGAACCCTCATATAAAATATTTAATATCTCAGAGTATCTAAACCTGTGATGCTAAATGCAAAGTCTTTGTAGCTCTGTAACTATGTATAGGGTGTACTCAAACCCCAGAAATACTTTAATAGTTCCATAAGGGCCTCTATCCCTTCAATGAAAAATACATTATGTCAACATGCAGCCAATCTTCCAGGATTTCCTGCTTTTACTAAATCTGCATGCTGTGATATCCAAGTGATATCCAAGCACTGCTTGTCAGCTAAATGATAGAAAATTTGAACGTGTTTTCCAAGCATGCTGCTACTGCTATAGCATCTTCAGGCATTGAAAACATGTCCTTTCTGGCTACCTTCAAACACATCACTGCAATCTATTCTACTTCATGGGTGCAAATATTCCTTGTTTACCACTTATACTAAACCAGACTCTTCTCTGAACTTCTACCATGGCTTCCTATTTCCTCCTGAGGACTCAAGAATTTGAAGCTTCTTGTACTCAGTGTTTGTAACCATCTGTCCAGTTCTGCACACATTGTAGGATGAGTACAAAGCATCACACTACGCTGGGGAAAGTGGATCCTTCAAAACTGGGAAAACAGAAGTCCCATGGAAACAAACCATTGGATTTGGTTATGTTTTTCTTCTTTAATATCTTTCACTCAATTTAATTGCTACAGACTGTATCACAATACATGGTAAGTTGTTGATGAGGGAGACTATCATCAATTTTGTGTTTGCACAGCAACAAGAGCAAATGAAACCATTTCTCATAAGGGGATTTGACCCAGTAACTGCCTAAATACATGACAATTTCACAGAACTGGTACTTTAAATTAAAAATTATGAGAAGCTGCTCTACTGTGACAGAAAGGGCAGTGCATGATTTTTTACTTATCTCCCACTTATGTTGTAATATGATATTTGTACTTGAAGCTAGCAAGAATATTAAATCAGAGTCTTTCTGGATTGAAATAAGAAGACAGATTGTAATAAAAATGGCATAGCAGAAGTTCTGGTTTTTTCCCTGAATTATGAATAGTCATGTTTCATAAGCAAAAGTTGGCATTCCAAGTGTTTGTTAATAAGAAGAATGGTAAGAGCTTGCAAGAGGAAATATACTTACCAAAAACATGGAATCCTAAAGTACAGGTGTAAGTGGCCCATTCTATATCCCTAGTTGTTTCAACACTCACAACTTGTTTACAAGCAGAGGGGATCCCTACAAAAGAAAAAAAAAACCCATAACTATATATTTAATTTTCAAATTGTATAGATTTCTGATTACACCAGATGAATTAAAACATATGGTTGATCTTGGCAGTTACATGGTCTCATTTAAATTTTAAATCTGTGTTAGACTGCCTGAACTTTGCACAAAAGGACCAAACATAATTCTTACTCACAGTATAAGATTTCATAGTCTCCTGAATTAGACACGAGATATTGTGAATTAACAGACCAATCCAAATGAGTAATGAAGCTGGAATGACCCTACAAAGAGAAAATTATTGTATTAACTGCACTATGTGCCACAATGTGACAGTATTAATACAGTGCTACAAAATACACTTTGGGTGTTGATAATGAACCAGGAAAAAAAAGGTTACTTACTGAACATTTGCCAATTCTAGTGTACTTTCTTCCATTTTCACTTACACCATATATATAAATACAGTTGTCATGGGAACCTATTGCCAAGAAGTTTCCATCTATAAACACAAAAGTGAAACTGCAATTATTCCTGTAAGAAAGAACTTAGGCTAATTTTGAAAAGCTTGTATGTCACAGACAAGAGGAACTGTTCTTAAAGGCCTGGATACTGAAAAATGAATAAATGAAAGTATATTTTTAGTTTTCTAGTTGCATATTGATATCTATCAAGACTACAAAAAAGCAATTTTATACCAACAAATACTACTGTTAAAAACACAACATTTCTGGAAGCAGCTATAGTCCATTTAGGGCTAACTTGATTGCAACAACCTGCAGAGTTAAGTCTATTTTTTCCCTTCTTCACAGTGAAACCATATTGAATGTATTGGGGAGGGAGGGAAAACAAAACCAGAGCTTAAGACACCACCCATAAAGTCTTGCCAATGTTTCATGGCACACTTATTTTCAACTTCAGTATGGCAAGTGGGGACTTATTTTAAAACAAACCAACCCCTAATTTAATAAAAAAATTCAACGCCTTTTTTTTCCCCAGTAAATAAATGCTCTCAAACCTGGTGAGTAACGCATTACAGACAGCTGTTCGTTTCCATCTGTGTGTACAGTGACCAAGTCTTTTGTTTCTGTGTCAAACACAAACCACCTGTTGTAAACACAGAAAGAGGCCAATAAATCATTCCATAAGGAATTTAAATCTACTGTAATCTTGACCAACTTTTCTTCTGTCAAAATAGCATAAGTTTTATACCAAGAAAAGAAAAACAGCAACTGCTACTCAGTTTGGTCTATTTTTCCTTTAACACAAGGATAGTTTCTTTCACATCTTTTTTAACCATAAATGTTCGGGCATTGACTCCATCATCAGTCTTCAGATTTTAGTGTGTTTTAATATGTCATGTGTAAGAATAAAGTAAGCATTGCCTGTGATATCCCTTCTCCTTTAAAGACCTTCCTCTATGCCATGCTGCTGTTTAAATTGATGCCTGCATTACATCCTAGAGCAAGGGAAAACACAAGCAAGCATCAGGACCATTCTCTTCTGATAGAAGAAAGAGATGATTAATTTATTTTAAAGTGAATTAATTCATTATTTTTCGGTAGTTTATTTAATTACTTAATTTTAATGAACCAAAAATTAGTTTGTGGAAACATGTAAAAAGGACAGAGACAGAATTTACGTTTCAATACTTGCATCAGATTACTAAAGACAAAGAGAAGATTCTTCTCTAAGCTTCTCCTTTTGTTATACTTTATTTAGTAAATAAAGTACATTCAGTAACAAAAGTAAGTCCCTTATTTAGGGCTGATATAAAATCTGAAATAAGCTTGCCTCATAACCTACAAGCTTCCTATATGTTCTCAGTGAACTGGAACTGTTTTCAGTACTAACAGCCAGGTCTGCCCTCAAGTGACATTAAAGGAGAGGATGAAGTTAGGCAAAGGCAGTTCGTCCTATGAGAGACGACCACAGATAAACTCAGCAGCTGCCACTGATGTCATCAAGGCCTCAACCTGCTCTCTAAAACACTCTCCTGCACCTCAGTTTCCTCTGCTTTATTTATCCCTCACACTCTTCCTGCAGAATAAGTCTCTTAATGTGCATTTTTACACCATGACTAGCACAGTGGAACAGTCACCAATTTTTTTAAAGCCTCTGGTTGTTACTGCATTAGGGATCATGAACCACTTGCTACATTTTCCAATGCACAAAATTTTTCTATGTGATTTCCTCCATGCAGCCCTAAAGGCCTTGGGAGGAAATCTCCCTCCACATCTGCAAAGTTAACCCACTACATCAGACTCCTCCTTTAGCCTCTCCTTTCTCCCAGGAGACACAAAGATTTAACATTTAGGTCACTGGTATGGTGACAGTACTTCCTATGCCTGGTCTCTCTCTCCCAAGGCAGAAACCATCTCTTTGTTCATGCAACAGTCAGCAAACACAGGGTGCTGGCCCAAGCCTAGGATTTCTAGGCACTAAGGCAACACAAATAAATTTCACTGTGACATTGAATAGAAATCAATAGGGAATGAAGATGTGTCATTGCATACATCTGCAAAGGCAGAACATGAACTTGGATGTGAGCTGGAAAAATCAGTGTTTGTTGGTGCCCAAGGTGTACCTCTGCACCTCTTACCTTCCAGTCAACGTTCCTACTGCAACAACAGATGCTGAAGGATGAAAACCTGAAGACTGTGCTGGATCCTGAAATATTTTAGAAAGAAGCACACTTTTTACCAGTCCAAGTTAACAAGTTATAACAAAAATATATTTCAATTATCTGTCTCTGAAACATAGTAAAACTGTCTAGTAGATTTTTAGGGGTAATTTTTTCTTTCAATATAAACTCGAGGAGTAAAAAAACATTTTTAACTAATTGAAATATTATCCAATTAACTTCATTTTCCTCTATACAAGGCCACTGTTTTACTTTCTTTACTATCTAAAAATAATTTGGCAAGTGATTTTGTAACAATGACATGGGCAACGACAGCTTCAAATCAAAAAGAAGTAAGAGAGAAAAATAACTTCTTAAACTAGAGCTGACCTTAGAATTAAGCATCAAAGCTGCAGTTTACCTACAGTCTGAAGGACAAGCAAGTCCCTTATTCAACAAAGGTATGTGGCACTTTGCTGTAGGGGTAAAGCCTGACTCTTACACACACCAACACCTTTTTCCAGCACCTGCCAAGCTACAGCTCAGTGGGAGAATAAGGGCATAAACTGGATGTGCAATTTTAAAACATTTTATTTTGTAAAACTCTAGTGTTTTTCTTGCAATTTAAACATTATGCCTAAAAACAATGTAAGCATTTTCTTTCTAATACTTGTCCAGTTACAAAGAATGAGGTCCAGAAGTCTTCAGTTTATAGCAGAAAATACCAAAATAGCTTTTTTTCTTTCATACCATTAAAACCTAATTTTAAAATATAAGCAAAAAATCCAGTCTAGTGATCCATCTCATAGAAATTCTTGTGTTCTTAATTTTCTGTATTTTAAAACAATATAATGTTGTAGCTGTTTCAGTAAACCTGTTGGCATTTTCAGTAATTGGTAGTTATTAGCCCTAGAGGCTAGGTGGAAAGGATATCCTCATTAATTATAAGCAAGTGACTAATTTAAAAGAATTACTAAGTATAAAGGAAATTTCAGAGAATTGTTGTGATCCAGGATTTTTATGCACAGCTTCTAAAACACTACAGCATTCCAGAAAGGAAAATTTCCTAATTTTTTAAAGTATAATTTCATAGCAAATGCTAAGAACCAGAGGTTCAAACAGTGCATTTAATCTAACTTGTACTCAGAAGAGCAACATTAAAAAGCTTTTACATTGATCTCTATGACAAAAATAGGTTAACATGAAATGATTTTTTCCCCTCAAGTTAATTTTTTAAGGTTTTTAAACAATAATCTTAAGAAAACCCAAAATAACTAGAGAATTTCTATAACAGGTGAGCTGTTTACATTTAATAAATGTATACCTCTATAATCTTACTCCAGATAGGATGGTGAGTGGTTGCATCCCAGAGTGTAATGTGTTTGTCATGTCCACATGTGAAGAACTGAGGTTTAGAGGAATGGACTGCAAGACCCCAAAGCTCATCAGTGTGACCCTACACAAGCAGAGATGTTTTTAGAGAAGAAGGACAGGCCACCAAATCTAAACATGCTAAAACAGTATTAAAATTACCAAACTATATATATTAAAACATTCCAAAAATATGTTTGTTCTAGATAGATACATATAATGATTCTTATTGCTGAAAGTACTGTAATAATAAATCATATGTATATTTATGAAAATTAACTTTAAACAGGATATTTACTGCTCTTACATATTTAGAAGTGTTCTTGTAAGGAAACCCAGCTTACCTGGGTAATTGGGAAAAAGTCTCCTGACAGTGTGCCCTGTAGGACAAAGTTTCTGGTGGTTCCTATTAAGACAACGTCCCCTTTTCCCTCTGCTACGGTTCTTATTGGACCAAACTGCTCTGGAATCTGTGGTCATAACAAACAAAAGGATAGATAAGTCTGACAATTTGTCAGGTATTGCCATTTTTAACACTTTGCCTAGTAAATGTGTTTTAATAAATATTGCACAATGAAGAAATGAAACAAATTAATACATGTGGCTATCTTGCAAAACTTTGTAACAACTTGCATCAGCTCAGTAACGTCTATAACACTGCAAGACAAGACATTGTTATCTACAGAATACTCAGATAAACCAAGTATTTCAAGAAACACAAAAGGTTCCTTCATGCTGTGTTAATTCAATAGTATTTAATTGCAGCTGTGATATCAGACTAAGCATTTCTACTCAGAGCATTTTCTTGCAATGAATGCTTCCTTAATTGTAGCCTAGGTTCTGAAAGAGCCAGTGCAAATCTCTAAAATAATGTTCAAGGGAAGATCTAAAATAACAAGGAATACCCGAATATGAACAAATAAGAGAAAAAGAAGGACACCACAGTTAGAAACAGCACAACAAGCACGTCGCTTGTGCTGTCTTAAAAACGGAAGTAAAAAACAGACATGCTATTCCAGTTGTATATATATTTACAAGATTAATTATTATTATTTAATTATTATTTAATTTTATATAGTAGAGTTGAAGCCCCTCCTCAGACTTTTCTGCTGATTCTTCTCTTACATTCAGTCAAAGCAGTTCTGTCTAAACAAATTCTGCTTTAATCTTTTAAGTTCCTACATAGCAGCTGGAGCAATTTTCAAATTTTGTTTAAATTACATTCAAAATACAACAATATCAACCAAGAAATTAATGAAAAACTTTAAGTATTAAAACCCTCAAAAAAACCCTGACATCATTTTGGAAAAGAGGAATGTATAAAACCATTTCAATACTGTGATACTCTGAAGTTAAACATTACTTCACATTATTAAATGCAAAGAAAGAAAGAAATAATATGGGAAGATGTTTTCCAGTTACCATAAACTTAGAAAGCAAATATTATGTTAACGAATAGGGAATCACAGGAATGACCTGAGGACTGAAAACTTGAGGTGTCCTGTGCAGAGCCAGGAGTTGGACTCAATGATCCTGATAGGTCCCTTCCAACTCAGCATATGCAAATATTGTATTTTATCATTGACTTGTTTCCATATAAAATATATATCCATAAGAAAAATTATTGATTAAAAAAGCTGCTCAGAGGACAAGAGAATTTGATTTTAAGTAGCAGAGTAATTTCAAGATAGGTGGTATCACCTCAGTTTTGTGAATTTTTTGGTAGTTTCCATTCCAAGATATCAGCTTTCGGTCTTTTCCACCTCCTGAGACCAGTGTGCCATCTCGCAGCATACACAGTGCAAATATTCCACCCTCGTGTGCTCCTTGAACTGCGTGGCTTATTCTGTTGGTACCTGAATAGAAGAAAAAAGGCATTACTACTGAAATACCCAGCTTAATAGCTCCTTTCCCCTCATTTATTTTTCTCCATTTCTCTACTATCTCTCAAGGATTGCATTCAAACACTGATTAACAGTGGGCATGGGGTGCTGGACCAAAACAGACAGACCCATAGAAGAGGCTGAATTAGTACATCTTATGATATATTCTCCCCATCTCAAAAATGAAAAGTATACTAACTCAGTCTAGGTCAAGGACAAAGTAAAATAGGTTCATTTAAACCTTTTAAGGGGGTTTAAGCAAAATAATTTGACGTCACATTTGACCTGCAGTAGCACTATGCACCTTATCAGCAAAAACCCCATAACCCAGTCACTTTTATCCTCCAAGATATTCTACAGCCTCCAGATCCGGAATTTGTACCAAAACTGACTAAACTAGAGGTCCTTGTATATCTGGCAGAATGTGCTGATCACTCTCCAGAGGAGCCTGTACTTCTTTATTGATGAACTTGGCTTGTTCAAGTAGCTTCTTAGATTCAACACTGTCAAAACCAACTACTTTAGATTAAGTATCTCTAATTCAGTGAATCATTAATATTATGAAGTACAAATAAATGATTACTAGTGATTCTATTACTGAAATGTGCACCTTGCATCAAAGCTTGGCTAACTTGATGTTTAGCACAAGTGAGGAACTGATGCAAGTTAGGAAAAAACAATTGCCTTTTCCTTCATCCACGTCTATGGATATAATGTCAGGCACAACTGATTTCTATAAAGGGAAGTTTTTGCTAAGGGTAGTCTGACCTGGTGGAAGCAGCCCTCTCTTGCACATAGAGCTCTGAGTCAAAAGTAGTGAAGACATAGAAAGTACACTGTACTGAGATAGAAAAACAAGAACAACATTTTTGTCCAACCCTAAAGAGCTGGCAGAAGTTGAGATCTTGAGCACACTGAGAATTCCCTTTTATTTCTGGGAGAAAGGGCAGAAGAAGCTGCTTACAGTCACGGCAGAAATTAGTCTACCAGCATGATGGCAAACTGGCCCTTGAGCAGTGCACTACCCCTGTCTCCCTTGTCTGCTGGAAGTCCAAAATAACAATGAAGAACAGGGACATGGGACAGTGCAATTTCTAAAGCCAGTTTAGAAGGAAAAGTGTTGAAGTGCCTTGCTTTAAATCACCATAGGGAAAAGGAAAAGGAAATAAATGAGAAGCCAAGTTTCAAACAGTATATTCACCTCTGTCTTCAGCAGTGTAGTGGCCATGGACATAATTAGCTGACACTCCTTGGTTAAAAAAGAAATCTACAAAAACAGCTCAGGAAGGCTCAATTATATAACTGATTCATGGTATTGTTTTCAGGGTCTCATCCCTTTGAGTAATATCTTGGGAGAAAGCACTGAGTAAATAGGAAAAAGCTGTCATCCATATCCCTTCTTCCTTTACTAATAAGGCCTCCTTTAAGGGATTCTCCTTATTCCTATGCATGGCATCTCAGGCACTAAGTAAACGTTTAGGATGTTGCTGCTGTTTGCCCTCTGGCAGGCATTGCCTTCTGCTGCCTAAAAAAAGGTCTCTTCTTACTAGAAAATGCTTTGTAAGAAGTTCTTCCTATCCATCTGTTCATCTGAAATAAAGCTGAGGAATTCAATTAGATCTGAATACATTTTAGCTTGACTTCCTAGGGAAACAAATACTGCTATTTGTTGTCTTTTTAAAAGCATGTGTCAATAATTTCTGCAAACAGTAGAGAGGGACAGGATAGGAGACTGGAGATCATCAATTACATTAACAACGTTTCTTTCTATACAGTGATTAAAGAAATAATTTTTCTTGGCATCTCTTACATCACTAAAAGCCCCACATGCTGGCATAGCTCTGTGCTTCAGTATTTAACCATAGGGAACACATTTGATAGAATTTTGTGCTCTAGCAGTTAGGTACAGATATTCTTTAGCTTCTTGTAGAAAAGAATCCAGGCACAATCTGCTAGATTGGTATTGGGAAAGAGCTCAAGATAAAACAAAATGTATTCCTCTGGAAATGGAGCTCTATACTCAAATCTACACTCACAGTCTAATATTAAAATGGAAGTTAATAGTGAAATTTTATCTTACCTTTCCCCCAAACCAAAATGTTTCCACTTGAGTCTCCTGTAATAGTATCACCATTTTCAGAAAAGGTCACACACAGGACAAACTTTGGCTTCTCTTGTTTCTGCATGGTTATGAAAAATACACACTCACAGCAACATACAACCCATGGATTTTAACTTTATGCATTTGGTTGATTTAGTTTAATCTTATACAGTTCTATTATTACTTAGATATCTGCAAGAGTTAAACACATTCCTACAGTTTAAAGAGAATAATCTGTGCAAGGGCAAAAAATGCATCAGCTGAGGTTTGTGGCCCAATCCTGCCCCCTTTAATTACAAGCTGGGGACAGAGTGAGTGAGAAGGCCTGCCAACATGTAATACATGACCAGGAATGCTCTGAGATAAACCAAATCCCCCAACTACTGCAGATTACCAAAGACTTTGAGTATTTAAAGATGGCCAAAGTTTCAAACACGCTTTATGATTATAAGTCTTAACTCCAAAGTTTCTAGGAGAAAAAAAATATTACTAGAGAGTTTGGCCATAGTGTAAAAATTAAGGAATCATCTTTTGAAAGAAGCCCAAGTTTCAGTAAAGAAACCCCTGTATTTAAGACATTGACAGCAACAAAACAATTAAATGTGTAAGGGAACAAAAACATCACTGGTAGCTTCTAAGGACATTATACATTCCTTGTTGACAACCTATGTGTATGACCTCCTTCTCCCCAAAACTAAGATCCTATTCTGTACTAAAGCCACCACCCTTTTCCAGCTCTAACCAACATCGAGAACAACAGAGTCAGAAGAGAGAGAAAAATCCATTAAAAATGCATGAAAAATAAAATGTAAAAAAATTTTAATGCATTCTCTCAGCATCTCCTCCTGATTTCACATAAAGTATATTAACTGACATTGTAAATAGTTGTTCTGACTATCCTTGGGAGCCACGACTCCACAAGCAGTTAACTAGCAGTACTGGAGTTATCTGCAGTCATTGCAAACATCCCTCAGTTGTGCATGCAAGTGCTGTACAGCTTAGTCTATATTCAAGAAGGAACACAAATCAAAACCTTGAAATGAAAATGATATTTACCAAATAGTGGCCAGTTCAATCTGTATTTGAATGACATATGTGCATTTGTCTGAGCAGAACACAGGAAAAGGGAAGAAAATTCATAAAAATGTATTTTTATGGGGTCTTTCCTCTTACAAAATAAAAATCTCCTCCATCACATTCACTTTTTCTTTTTTAACCTGAGTTAATCATAAAAGTTCTCTGTGCCATACTATGAATGCCACCTGAGCTTCTGCAACATTTCAAGTTTAATAATGATCACTTGTTTTGATTTACTCAAACCTTACTTCTGTATGACTGTATCATTACTATATAACATAAAATTAGAGAAATATTTTATTTTACCTCAAATAATCCTTGCTTTTTAATAAGGGAATTCCCTTCTAGTGTCCAAAAATAAAGGTGTGATTTTCCACAGGTAACTATTATATTTGTATCAGTAGGGTGAAAATCTGCAGCAAATACAGCCTCATTAGAGCACTTGGAAGGAAAAAGAAAAACATTGTATCAAAATCTAAAATGCAAAGGAAAGAAAACAATATTACATGGTTCTCTAGGTAAATTGATACTTCTGATATAAGAAAAATTCTGAGCTATTCATTTACTAACATACTTACTTTTTAAGTCAAAAGATTTTATGTCTTTATAAGGTAATATCAAAATGTATCCTTAAAAATCATGTCAGATAATGAGAATTTCTATGCAAAATATTATTTTAGGACATTTTTCCTGCACATGCTCCTATCATTGCTGCCTAGAATTTTCTAACCAATTCTAGAATAACAACAGCAAAATTTTTAAAAATCCAAAACTATTGGGATAATCTCAACAGAGAGAAAATATCCCCTTTCTTCATGTTCCTTGCCTTTTTTACAGTGAAATTGTTAAAAAGGCACAAAAAGTTAAATACAGAAAGACATTTTTTTACAAGAAACCAGATCTACATACAAGCAAGTAGTACAAAATATCTTATTGCAACACCTTGACATCTGCCAGCTTTTCTTCTTTCTGCCAGTCCCACACTGAAAGCACATGGTCATTGGAGTCATCCACAGAGCACAGGCTACTTCCTCCATTCTGAGGCAAAACATGGAAAATATTAATATAGTACCCAAACAACATGAGGAACATACGAATACACATTCAAAATAATTAAATACCTATGTGTAAGTGGAGATATTTACACATACTTACACGTTAATTGCTATAATTGCAGTTAGATGTCCATAAAATACAATAATTAAAGGTCATTGAAAAGATGGCTAAAAAGGGACCTAGAAGAGGAACTTTTGCAAACTGCAGACAAGTGTCAGAAATGTGGTAGGTATCTCTTTCAAATATTGAGTAGTGGAAATTCCAAAGGCAAATTACACTTCATTATCTATTTTATTAAGAAAGTTTTTCTTCATAACTATACAGAATTTCTTTCTTTGCAATCTAAATGGATTATTTCTTCTCAGATCTCTGTTAATACAGAAAACAATTTTATTCTTCATATTAGTATAATGGATCAAAATCAGAGAACATAGTAAGGAATTAGAAAATAACTTATTCCTGACAGGTGTCTTTTTTATCGTTATGATGTTTATAACCCTTTCTAATCTTAATTACTCTAGTTCCTTCATTCTTTCTTCATGCATCACATTTCCTAGACCTTTTCCTGTTGGTATCCATTCTTCTGGTGTGTCTTTTTACCCATGAGGTTGCTTGGTTGCTATCTTGATGATTCAGGCCCACAATACACATCAGACACAACTACAAAAACAACTGTGCCAAAGGAACCGATGAGGTGGGGCAGAGGCAGGACTAAGAAACCGAAGAGAGGGCCATCTAAAGTGAGAGAAGTGCTGCTACAGAATGGCAAGTGATGCTCAGAACAGGCCAAGCTGTGACTGAAATCACAAGCAAACATAATAAATTCTCGCTTTCTTCTGGCAAATGCCAATAGTGCTCCTCTATTATTATGCATCTATTTCCCTCCAGAGAGGTATTTAAAGAGCATTTACTTGCTAATCCTTTTTATTTATTCTTCAAAGGTGAAGTCAAACTGTGTTAGCTTTCACCTTTGTATTCTTAACTTGTTTTCCCAATACTTCTCTCTCTTTCCTACTTTCTATAAACACAGTTATCAATGGATTCCAAGTGTTTGTAGAAACTTCCACTGAAGTAAATTTTGCCTAGGGAATACACCAGGTAGTCCTCTCCTATCTAAAAATGCTGTCAAGACAACCAGACACCACCACAGACACTGCTTACAGATTCGCTGTACACAGGGGGCTTTGCAGCTTGCACGTGTCAGGTCACAGACTCAAGTTTTTATATGGGACTCAAATGCTGCATGTAAATATTTCCTTTATGTCTCTGACAGATTAGAGTTCAAAGGACTGCCAAGAGGCAAACAACAGGATTTTACTTTTTTTACAATCCTTTATCCATATGCCTTTGCTGCTTTTCAGCAAAAGATTTTGATTCTCCTGTGGGAGCCTCCATTTTTTAAGTCTTTCATCAATCATTTTAGACAAAGTGAAAGGGTTAAAAGGTGTGGAGAGAGTAAATTTCTTATGTAGGGAGAAACAGAACAGGATGATTCAAGGAAAGCATGGATGCTGAAATTTCAAGTACACAAGTATTTTTGCAACTGCCAAAGAAATTAATTGCAGTTTATTTTAAGTATATGGTAAATCTGTGAGACTGCTGAGATACTGTTAACCGTAACAGCAACCTAAACTGTTGGAAACAACTGGGCTGCAAGCTTTCCTCCTCTAAAGAGGAACCTGAGAGAAGAGACAGCTTGGAGCTTGTTTTGATCACCTAAATTTGAAAGATTTCAAAGATATTTCCAGCAAACAGTCTTAACATGACTATTCATTTACTTTACTTACAGATTTAGAAAAAGCAATGCAAGTGACAGCTCGGTCAAAAAACCCCATTCCGATGACATGCAGTGTATTCAGAGTCACAGAATCCCAGACACGCACGTGTGGTGGCAATTGCTGTAAAACAGACAGAAAACATCAGCTCAAGCAATAATGGAGAAAACCCATCAGGATTTGAAAAAAATAAGAATGCATCTGAAAAACAAAAAATCACATTTGAAGGTATAAAAATTATCAGAATTCTCTAGAGGCATGCATGTAAGCACAGACACATTACAAATGGTTTGCTGATTACTGTGCCTAGGACCAATATCTGGGACTGCCTATCCAGAGTGTACAGCACGTCAGATGTCACTGATCTCTGTTCACTGAAGTTCATGGCCACTGAGATACTCGGCATGAACTGAAAATTGTTGATGACTTTGTGACATGGGATTTACTGGTAGGCCTAGGCAGAGTTTAAACTATACAAACTGAGATAACTCTGGTAAACGTAAAAGTGTGAAAAAGAAGATCAGGAATGTCGAAAATGTAATTCTCTTCAACATTATAAAAGTGGCCAGGGAAAATAACTTTGTGTTCAAACTCTTCTTTACAAACGTAATCACAACAAGATTGCGTTTGGTAAATAAAATTGCAGATGTACATCCTGGCCCCAGATGAACTCCCAGCGGAAGCTCCGGGGTCCCCCCTCTGTCCATCCCTCCCCTCGCGCTGCCCTCGGCGATGCCGCCCACGGCCACCAGGGGGCAGCCCCGGGCAGCTGGTGGAGTCTTGCTCACCAGTGGTGAAATTGTCCTTTAACAGAAATAAACGTATATTAAAAATCCCCAAGGCCACAGCAGTACCTCAGTTATATAAGTGGCTTTTATATGCCTATATACCGCATTCCACTCAAGCACAGACCTCAAACTTTTAGGTTTTATTACATAAATATAATGGCAAGTAAAAAAAAGCTCCAACACATAATAAAAATTATTAGTTTACATTACTCAGCTAAGTTATCTTTATATGAAACTTATATTGCATAACTGGGGTTTCATTTTTTTTTTCACTGTCCTCGTTTTGACTGGGATAGAGTCAATTTCCTTTCAAGTAGCTGGTGCAGTGCTGTGTTTTGGACGAGAATAATGTAGATAACACAGATGTTTTGGCTGTTGTTGAGCAGTGCTTACCCTAAGTCAAGGACTCTGCAGTTTCCCATGCTCCGACAGTGAGGAGCAGCACGTGAAGCCAGGAGGGAGCATGGTCCAGACGGCTGACCTGAACTGGCCAAACGGATACTCCATAACACAGAATTCATGCCCAGTACATCAACTGGGGAGTTAGCCAAGAGAGGCCAATTATTACTGCAAGATGAGCTGGCCATCAGTCAGTGAGCCATTGCATTGTACATCACTTTTCTTTCTTGGGTCTTATTTCTCTCATTTTGTTGTCTTTATTGTTGTTATTGTTGTTTAATTGAAATGTAATAATAATAACACTAACAACTTATTTCAAACCACAGAGTTTATCCTTTTTCCAATCCTCCTTCCCATCCCACTGAGGGGTGGGGAGGGTGGCTGTGAGGTACTTAATTGCTGACTGCAGTTAAATCATGACACTCAAAGTAGTCAGTATATTGATAATCCAGATTTTACCCCAGAATTCTTCTTTGGCATCTGCCAAAAAGTTTGCAATTGTTTGGTTCTGACAAGAGCTGCATACTCTGCTGAGTAACTTTTTCCTCATGGTTTTTACTGCCTCTGCTTGTTCCCATTCTTTTTCCCTTTTGTTATATCTTTGGAGTAATGTTCATCTTACTCTGTTCAAATTAAGTCCGAGCTTACAGCTAATCTTACAATAATACAGATGGCAATAAAGAGAAAAATATTCTTGCCTCGATGATGACAAGAGTAAAAGTTGGGTTTTTTTCAGCAAACAATCTAAACCCGTTCTTTGTAGTTGTTTCTGGTAGCTGTGATCAAAAATGAAGTTGTATAGTGTACAATTTAATGTCCTCCTTTTCTCCACATCCATCCATCCTCCCAGGTCTCCTTTGCAGCCTTATCCGTCCACGCCTCTCAGAGAGCAGCTCCAAATTTACCTTCCGTCTAAGCCATGAAACCAGAAACCATTGACCAGTCTTGACAATGGAACTGGGTAACAGTGACAGTGTGCAACAGGAACTCTCAAATTAAGTTTTGCTTCCATTCAGTCCAAAAATATAAGATCAATTACAATGGGAAAAGAATACAGCATGTATCTTCTTAATAACATATTCTTATGAAATATAAAATTATACATCAGTAAAGGAGCCACTTACTTTCCCATCCTTGGATGTCCCTGCAACTTGACCTGTTGCTATAGTGATCCTATCAGGATGAACAGCCAGGCTACAAAAGAAAAAAAGAGGCCAAACTTAAATCTACTGACTATCTATTTCAACAAGCTATTACTTGAGCTTGTAATAAATACCTGTATTTTAGTCATATAAAGCACACAGCATAAGTGTAAACTATTTAAGAATATAAAAACAGAGCTGACAAAACAATTGTCCTGCTCTTGTATTTTAAAATCATCTGAAATCTTTTTTTCACTGCATCTGCTTTGCATGCAGTTCTAGAGGCCAAATACTCTACAAAATGAACTGTGGCAATAATTCATTTAGCTTTACAAACCAGAAAGGCATCCTCTTTCCAGTAAACCTGATAGCTTTGAAATATCTAGAGACAGAAAATTTAAAAGAAGAAAATGAGATGGAACAGGTCCAATGTAAAAATCTCCTTGTAAATCAACCAGATTATACAAATAATTCAGTTTATGAAACATGCTCACAATTTAAGCAGATTTGGTTATCAGGCCTATTTTTGGCTTTGAGGGACAATAGGTGTTTCATAATGCCTAATCTAAAGAAAGGATGTTAAACTCATTTCATACATTAGGGCCCATCAGATAATCCAGGTGCTCTTTTTCAGCTACACTGTGCAAACAGACTGATACCAGCAGGATAAACCATATGTTTGTTAAGATTTCAGTTTAATGATTCTGACATTTGCTGGTATCTAGTATCCTCTGCACTTCAGCACACTTAACTCACTTTGAAGCCCAATCTGGCACGTGTGCATGGCAGCCAACAAACCAGGTCTATATAGGCTATCTGCCATGGAGTCAGCATGCCTGAAGACTACCAAGAAGACTGTACAGGGCACCCAGGCCCTAGTGAAGGGCAATAATTCAACCCTACTTTAAAAAGGCAAGGAGAAGATTCTAAAGAAGATAATGTTCAATCATCCTAAAAGAAGAGTAAGAAAAATGAGTGGATCTATCTCAAATATCGTTTTGTGATGAAATAAAGAACTATTATTAGATGACTTACCACTTCACATCATCATTATGACCAGTGTAATGTCTCTGAAGCTGCTCTTCGACATTGAATAACACAACTACAGAGGCGATGAAATACACGGTCTCGCCCGTCGGCAGGAGATAGAGATTGCTGCGACAGTCCCGACCCCTGTATCCATAGCTAGAGTGTTGGTCAAGCTGCAATAACATTATCTACCAATGAAGAATGTTAAAAACAAGGGGGAAAAAAAAGGAAAAAAAGGATTCTCTGTCCTTGTAGTCTGTAGTCTCTGTCCTAGAGTGTCCATCTCTTGGCTTAAGCACAGCTTTATTACTTGACAGCCTTCAGAACTCTTTCCCTTACTACAGCAGAGAGCTGAAGCACTTTGCAGACTTTAAAACCTACATATCCTACAGAAAACATATAGCAAAGAATGCAGGAATTTGCAGATGTACTATTCCTATAGCATCCTCTAGAATTTACTAAATACCAGACAAAGGCAATATTAATTTTGTCCCAGGTGTATTTACTATTTACACTGCTTGACTAATTAAAATAAAAAATTAGACTTCATAGAAACAGTAATAAGTCATTCAGCACATTTCCCTGCATTATACAAGGATTAATTGCATTATCCTGTGTGCAGGTTGATTGATTTCATTAATGTGGACATGACCAGCCAGATGGATAAAAACCATAAAAGGGTTACATCATCCACTCCAATTTATTTTTGTAGTATTTAAAAGGCAGTGGCCCAGATTCTGATGTTAGTCATATCAACATGAATCTAAAATTAATTCAATGAAATGATTGGAATAATAATCTCATTTAGACTGAATGCTAATTCAGCCAAATTTTGTAGTTTTATTCTTCTGAAGAGTCATTAGGGACTACAACTATTTTGGCTTTCTTTTTTTTTTATGGGAACAGAAAGAAACAGCATTAGCAGAATCTTGGCAAAACAGAAGTGCATTCTAATGCAGTCAATATGGAGAAGCTGGCTGTGAAAAATACATGGACAGAGAATGAAACCCCAATTATATGATCTAAACAAGATACTTGTGCACTATTCTGTATGGTCAATTATAAGCCACTCAAACTAAAATAGTCATGTTAATGTTCTTGAAGTAATAAGGTCAATAGTTATCCTATATAAATACCTATTTTACAAGAAACGGCTTGCTGATTTTTTATTAAAAATGCAATAGAATGAGTGCTGCATACCCAATTATTAAAGTGTGAATTCAAAAATAAAGCTTTTAGTCTCATAAACTGAAACATCTCAGCCAAAGTTTCTTCAAGTTTGAGCTATTAAAGTGCAATGACATTGAAACTATCAATATCTTCAATTATAAAAAATTTACTATCAATTTGAATCTGTCTGTGACAGTTGGTGTTACTGCTCTAGATTGCTGGACAATGCTTTATTTGTTTAAATTTATTTAAACATTAAATTTATGGCCAGATACCATTGCGAATTGAAGCCAATATAATATTTCCCTAGTTCAACATATAATCAAATTTATAGTGAACCAGCAGCTGAAGTTAGTGTAAGGAATTGAACTTCTAAAAGAAATGAAAAACATTACATAGACACGCATAAGAAACAAATCTCAGTGCACAAAAATAGCCATTAAACGGGAAAGATTGCATTCTTTAGGGAAAATCTCCTTTCTTTACTATTCTTCCTGTGGGGAACAATGCTGCATTCAACCCTTCACATGACTGCTGTTGTCAAACACTCAATTTCTTTCTATCAGCCTTTTTTCTCAGATGCAAACTCCTGGGGTTGATCCCTCCTTCTCCTCACTGTTTCCCACACTCGGATTTGGTGGCTTCAACTTGGATTTGGTCAGCTGGCACTTCAGGGAGTGTTACCTTGACCTTTTCTTTTCATTTGGCCTGCAGTTTTTGTTTCAAACCTCCTGCTTGCCAAGTAAGTTGCTCTCAAATGGATCTGGGCAGGGCACTGCTCCCACCCTGATGTCCCTAGTGCTGATTTCTCACTTAGATTTTCCACCTCTGCTCCAGCCCCCCTCACACTTCAACACTCAGTGTTTTTGTTTCTTCATGTCCTAATATATATGATAATATATCAAAGGTGTGAATCTTTTTCAGCTTACCCAGATAGCTGCTAACATGACTGTGATATCCCTTTATGGTTCTGGTATGCCCTGAAATCTATACACATTAGATTTTCTTCCTTCTGTTTCTTATCATAGTCTGCTTTCCTTTCCATTTATCCACGCCAATATCTGGTTTCCCTACCTCCATTCTTACATTATAGAGCATTTCTGGCTGTACTCCCACAGCTAGACTCATTTGTCTGTTACAAAGATGTTTTTTCCTACTCCAGTTCCATTACCCTCCAATCAAACAGTGCAGCTTCTCCAACTCAACTGGAATGAATGCCTGCAATATTGCTTAGTTTTCAGCTGTATTTGTCTTTCTTTGTAAATGATCTTATGCTCCTGCTCACAGTTTCCCTTCTCCTTGTTATAGTCTGTAAAGTGGGCATTACCATCTTCCTCTTTCTTTAAAGTTATTTTTTAATTGCCTTTCTAAACCTTCCATATACCTAGTCATTGCTATAAATATTAAATATGGATATCCTGATTGGATTTAATTGCAAATAAATTAGAAACAGAAGAAACTAGCACAGTATTTTTGAAAAAAACTACCTCCTCCTCAATACCATTTAGAATAACCATCTAAGGTTAGTTATATTGTTTTATTAATTCACACCTCTTCTATTCATAGACAACCTTAGAGAGGATTCTGCTGGGTATAGAGACACATACCTGGAAGGACATACGAATATTCAATCTAAAAATAATAGACCATCTGGCAAATATTCAATCATTTAAATAAGCTTAAGTGAAAAACTAATGAGACTGAAATCATGACCTACTCTAATTATAATTCCTTATAATAGTCTGAAATTTTGACGTCAGGTTCCACCTACATGCTGCTAATGACATTCTGCTTTGTTTCATGGTTGGGTGTTCTGTTGTTTCAGGAAGCTTTCTAACACTTTCTCCTTATTATCCTTAGGCCCTCCTAGGAGCTCCTTACAACTGCAGAAGACATAATTCAATTCTGTTGTGATAAATGGTGAGAACTTGTACAATTAGATGGTAAAATGCTGCAAGAAGTGTTTATCACTCTAATCTCACCTGTTTTATTAATTTTATGGATTTTTTGTCTTTTAAATTCATCTTCACTTATTTGTGCATGCACTATCAATGCAGTTCCAGCAGAATGGGATAGAACCTACAGCCTCAGCTGCAATAGAAATAATAAGAATGGTTACTAAATCTGTCATTAATCTCTTGTGAATACAAAGGGACTTTTGGAAACTCTCTGAACATTCTGAAACCACATGCAGTTCTATTTATACAACTTTGAAAAAGACTATATGCAGTCTATCTTCTTTTGTGAAGACAAAGTAATTTCCTATTTTCACTGCAACCAAAAAAGAGATTTTTCTTAAAAGAAAAAACCTCATGAAGACATCATCTCTCTAAAGATAATGGATATTACAAATAGAGTCAGATCTTGTTGTGTTTATATTTTATCTTGACTTATCTATTATATACAATAAGTGAAATGTATTTTTTTTATAAAGAATATAATTATACTTAAAAGTGAAATAGGAAAACTTTTGTATGTAATTAAACACTTCTTTCAAGTTAGATTTCTGCAATTATGTCCACTCATAGAAGCCAGTGGAAAAAATCTGGTTGTTCAGTATTTATGGTGTTTAAGCCCCGTTAAGATACAAATCCAAATATTAATTTATATATTATATTTTAAAAATTTTATGGCTGTATCAGTTGCACAGCACTGCTCAATTCAGAGCTTATTCAAGTTGAATATACAGTCCTCTTAAGGACAATGATGTACACTTCATAAAACAGTTAAAAATGATGAATTACTGCTAAGAACTAGGAAAAAACCCGAGCTTGTCTTATGCATATTATAATTAATAATCCCAGCTCACTACATTCTTATGATATGCCTAGTTTAATCTTTGGCTAATTAGCATGCTTCAGACTTAACCTTCAGGCAACATTTAAGCAAAATCTTTCTTAAGCTGCCACCCTGTACTTTACAAGGTGAAGAACAGCAGCCTCAAGAAATTAACACATATTTTCAATGGAATGTCACTTCACCAATTAAATGAACCCTATGACCTTAATTCTGGTACACTTTAGCTCGAAAAGTTATTTAACCCAAATCATTATGGAATGATTGATTTCCAGTAGTCCTCCAGCACAGAAAGGATACACCCATTCCAGTTTAAGCCTCTTGGCTGGTAGTTCTACTTTTGCTTCCAAATTGTAAGATTCCACTTGCTCTTTGGGCATGTACATGGTAACAGGACGTCCACGAAGAAACATTTTTACGTATCCTTCCTCTACAAAAGGTCAGAAATGTTTAATGTTACACAAAAAAGCCATCGGGGAGAATTCCAGTGCTCCTCCATCCCTTCCCACATAACAGTTTGGTGTACTACAATTACAGAATGACATGCAATCTCAAACTTAGAAATTTAGCAGGTTGGTTTTTTTTTCCTAAATCGTAATCACTAAGCAGAATTTTTTAAAAACATATGAAGTCCCTTCTTCCTCTAAATATTCTGAGTAGCATAATTAGAAATAAACAATGTCATGAAGAGCTACAAACCAGAAAGGTCTGAAATTGAAACTTTTTCTTTTAAATGTTACAATATTGCAGTTTTTAAATATTAAAAATGGAGGGGAATACATCAAAGATTACAATTAACGCAGAAATGCCACTTAAAATTAATTTTATTTTTAAATCAATGTTTACAGTTGAGCATCAGCATCTAAATTATTTTCCAACACTCAGTCGCATTCTTTGCATCCCAGTGTAAAGATATGCTTTACACTTGATACAGTGTTAGAGATACATTCGAAATAAGGAACACAAACAATTAGTAAAAGGAATCATGCTGATGTACATGCAGAAAAGAATTCAGTACGTGCTTTAAGAATTACTAAACATTGAAAAAGGAATGACAACATTGACAGCACATTAAAAGAAAGGAAAATGACATACAGGAGAGAAGCTACAAAAACTGAATTGGCTGACAGTAGTAAACATTTCTAGAAAATACTAAAAGTAATGTGTTGAACTGGTAAGAAATATTTTTGGGGCAGAGAAGCAGAGATTAATAACAGATCTGGAAGTACTGACTTGGGGACTTCATGGGGCTTATAAAACTAGGAGATCTGGGAAATGCCATGAAGGTCTGACTAGGACTTTTGGGAAGTGGCAAGGCCAAAGTGGGTGTCCTGTGAACTTCTGATGAAGTTTGTCCAGATTCAGAACGTGCTGGCTCTTGCTGCTCCATCGGCAGATCAAGGGGTTCAGCCTTGTTCGCATGCGAATCAAGCAGTTTTGGAGTCAGTGACATCTGTAGAGTTACTAGACAGAATAATCGTGGGCACAGAGGAAATGGAAGGGCAAAAGTAACAAAAATCATGTAAATGAAAAAAAAATCATACCATTTAGGACTGCTAAATTATGCTATGAATTTTTAAGTATCATTACAAATATACCACTATTTTTAAAATTTGAAAGCTAAGGCTTCATTTTAATTGGAAATATGCATATGCTACAAATCCTGACTAAATTAGTAAGACTTACTGATTGAATAAATAAACATCATACCTATGCTGTATTACCTAACTAGATGTGTATTTTGCCTTTAGACTAAGTCATTTGGGACCTGATCTGTCACAGTAAAGTTCCAGCTCTCTCTAGCTTAATTTACAGAATGTATACATAAAATGATAGCAACAGAAAACTTAATGTTAAAAAGAAAAGATAATAATGATGAATTAATGGTGACAGAAGGTTGGAACTTCAAGATGTCCGTTAAAATGATAGAATATTGGAATTGTTTTTAAAAGTCTACTCCAATATATCTGTATTGGAAAATAAAATAGAGGGTAGAGCATTAAATAGCAAAGCATTACAGCACTATTGTATGCGCATGCAGCATCTATTTAATGAGCTTCAAACACGTGCCAACACTGCTGATGCTGGTGCACTGCAAGTCAACAGATTTTCAGCAATGACAGCTACTGGCTGTACTTATCAAAGGCTGTGAATGAACCAAAGTTTAATTCACCGAGCTGCTTTTCTCACCTGAAGCTTACGGGGACTCATAAAACTTGCATTTAGCCACGTACAGTGAGAGCATTTGAACCTAGTCACACCAGACTAGCAAAGTACGTACTAACCAGTAAACTATACCAAGTATATTACAACAAGTGTATAAATTATGCCTTCACAATGTGTGTATGTATAAAGAGGAACTTAGGCTGATTAGGTAAGGCATAAAAATCATATTGTGTATTTATTTCTATCTTGTGGTAATATTCCATCTCTACTAGTTTTTCTTCCTAACTCACATACACTATCTACACAATCAATCTGCATCCTGTTTTTCATACTTTTCTTAAGTAAGTTTATAAGACAGTAGAGTTCTAAATGTAAAGATATAGATGTAAAGACAGACAATCATCAAACTACAAAGACAGACCAAGAGTGGAACTTTTAGACAAATGTATCTTTTACATCTGTGGTTTTGTAAATTTGATATTGTTGTTGCATAAATTAACAGTTCATTAACTGAAATAAGAAGGCACATCAGTGCCAGTGGGATCTGCAAAGGAGACCACCACTGATTGCAGGTATAGATTTGTACAAAGAATACACAGAGGTAGAGACTCTCAAATAGACTTTGCCTTGAGAACGAACATTTTTTGCTTTGTGAAATTCACATTTATTGCAAAGCGGAAAGACGCTGATTAGTGAAAAAACTGTTAGGATATAGCTATTTCTAAAAAGCAGATAAATCTGTGATTAGATCACAGATATAAACATGCATCAAAAATGTGCATATTTACACAACTTAACTAAAGCTTTAGACATCAACATGGTATGTTTACCAAATGTAACTCTGCTTTATGACACTAAGCAAAAAGCAACGAGAAATGAGTTGTAGGCCTAGGTCTGTTTATTTAAGATTCAGAAAAATCTACAATCTACTCAGTAAGAAAAAGCAAGAAAAAACAAAGGCTTCTATGATCATGTTAGGCTAACAGCAAAACAGCCAACAAGGGGGCAAATTCTATACGAATTTCAGCAAAAGTGCAGAATGCCATTTCAAACACAGTGAACATCCATGTGTTGCCATATAGCTCTCTCAACATTTTTTTTCTAATGCAAATTCGTAGGAATAAATCCACAGGAATGTAAATTATAACCCGTTATTATGATTAAAGTGCACCTGAGGGTTATAATTCATTAGATCATATAATAAATGGCATAACATTTTTATTTCACTCAAAAGAACTAAAAAAGTTTTAACATTGCAAAATGCGCAGGAGTTAGAAAACAGTATATATATATATATATATATTGAGCTTTTATCCCACCAGAGCCATTTTGCTTCGAGAGCTATGAGGTTTTGGAAGTGAAGCCTACCTTTGCAGTGTGTCACACGGCGCTTCCCTTGTGATTACAGAGACAGAGACAGAAGGGCTAGATAAAGATGTGTTTGAATACAATAACTCTCTAAATACCTGCTCTACAGGCTGTCCAGTCTTAGTCTGCTGCAGGCTAACCTGGGGCTTGACAAAACACTGAGCTAGACACTGGTAAATTACCTTCTAAACCTCTATCCTCATTTAGGGGCCTCTGGTTCTACCATTAAAACACTGGCTTAAACTCCATTACATAACCATATACTTAGGTATAATACCAAGTATAACCTTCTTAGCAAAACCATTCATTTCAGTAGGAATTTAATCTAGGTGAGAATGACATCAATGTAGTGGCACACCTGTTTAATTACTGACCTTTATCTATGGGAAAAGTGGCAGAAGAAAAAATATTACAAATACCTTTTCTTACATGACATAAGGGAAGCAGAAAAATTAGGAAAAGAAAGCATATTCTGTGCAAATCAGAAGTTTTCTTTTTCTAAACCATCAGTTTGCATGGAAGGGACATGAACCATGATTATATTGTCACAAGCGACTTAAGTGCTTATTTTATTTAATGTATTATTGACTTCAAAATGAGTTACATTAAACCTTGAAATGTGGCTTAAGAGCTTTGTTGGATGCTGATCAATCCATGCAGTAAACAAAAGATCTCCAACTTTTTCAGCTTAATGTATGATTACTGTCACAGAATTATGCATAAAAAGAATACAATACATCTGATAAATCAACAGGGCTTTTTCCCTTTGCTATTATAAATCTTTATTTTAGTTGTCGTTGACTTTCCAGAACAAAAATAACTGTTATATACACTAGTCAGCTTCATATTTTTATTGAGACTCTTTAAAAGTTTTAGCTGTCTAATGACAAGGGAAAACATTGCTTTCACTTGCACCTACTATTTCACTTTCAAAACCTTTCAGCAGGGATAGTACCTAAGTTGGAAAAAATTGAAGTGCTTTTCAAATTAAAGACAGATTGCCAAAACTGTAGTAACAAACCACCTTTTTCTTTGTAATTTGACAAATTACATTACAAGGTTTTGGGACAGATGTGGCAATCTTTAGAGGGCACCATTTTATGATTAGCATGACAGCATCATAACTGGAACTTGGCATTGTTTTAATTACCAAAACCTTAATTAATACTACTTTGAAAGAGAAGACACATGCAAAGTAAGAAGACATAGTATTTTTTTGTCTTTATCTTCTTACAAAGAATCCCAACCGTAAAGTAAATCTATTGGATCGATAAAATCTAGAGTGAACTGAACAAGTTTTTAAAAATATATCACTATCAGCCTGTAAGTATTGTGTTTAGATCCCCAATATCAATTTCTAGGCATCCACAGAAGAAAGGGGGCTAGTGGGGGAACCCAAATATATTATCACAGTTACTATCTGCTTAAAAATTTTAAAAGTTCCTACCTGCACTGAACATTGGTTCCTTGGGTTTGCTGTGAAAATAATGAAGAAATTACTATTTTAAAAGCATGCACATAGAGTCTGCACCTGTTTATGTAACAATACAACATAAAGCTAAAAATATAATAATAAAATTTTTGTTGAGTGTATGTATGAATAAAAATACTTTTTCAATTAAATTGTTTACAAAGGAAGTCCCCAGGCAAACACAGTTAAAACCAGTAAACATCCTTGATGGCACTTTTACATTCAATTCTCATTTAATTCTCAAAATTACAGATTTTTCTCTACTAACTACCGAATTATCTTCTTCTGTGAAGTTAGTCCAGTTACAGGAGAACACAGGAACTGGCCACGAGAAACTGTATCATTTTTTGTTTCCAGCCTGGATTTAAGGAGCAAACCAAAGTTTGAATCCTGCTTTTTCCAAAGACTTCACATAAAACATAGAACTGCCTAGTGGTTCTTGGTAAACAACAGTACTTGGTAAAACACAGAAAGCACATAACCATGATTAAAATGTCTTCTCTTTGTCATTGCACAGCTGCCTACAAGACAGCTGGAAATGGGTTTTTCTTTTTGTCTTGAGAAAATATTTGGGAAAACTTGAGGGGAAAATACATACAGCATGTTGAGAAGCTCTCTGGATAGTACTACCCTTGGAAGGAATTGTTAAGAAATGCTAGTCATTGGGGGTTTTTTTGTCCTTTGCCCTTGCCAATCAAGTTTGAGGGTGCTGTTTCTGATGAAGACTGGAAAGGACACAAAGCTATATTATGCAGGTTTTTTTCCTCCCAGTTCCCTCATCTCCAGTGCAATAAAACTTTTCAAGTACCAGATAACTGCTGTAAGTTTCTTAGAGTGATCCCAATAGAGTTGAATCCCCTATCATTCTGATGGAGAAATGCTGAAGCATGAAGCATTTCTAGAGCTTGATGCCATCTCAACCCCCTCTCCTAGACTGCAGTGGGCAGATAAGGAGAAATCAAAAGAAACAAGACTGTGTTGGATTTTCGGACACAGGTTTTTTTCTAAGCATAAAAGATTCTCTCTCCCTACAACAAAAGATGTAGCATGTAATTCTGTTGCATTTTTCGCTTTGCTTTGGTTTGACACTTATATTAAGAATAATACTTTACTTAATGATAAGCTCAAACTAAATTAATTCTGATTCTACTCCTGATTTAGCAACTTTCCATAATATCAGCCTTTGTGTTAATCATGCATCAAAATACTTGTTTCAAGCTGGCATACACAGCCAATGTCATTTATATAAATAGCATTATGTGCTGCCATTGTTAACACCAAGATGAACATTTTCTCTTATGAATGAAGATATTTTTAGAAAACAAAAAACTTTATGGGATGGAGCACTAGTAAGAAATGCTGCCATATTAGAGACAAAATAATCCCTAGCTCTGAACAGACCATGCCAACCTATTCAAGCTAATCAAGCAAATGTGAAAGGCTTGATTCATGACAGTAATAAAGCAAATAATAATGTATTTTCTAATCATACAAACCCTAACCATACACAGCTCAGAGCTCTGGCTACCCTTTTTCCTGAACTTGAGTCACATCCTACTTAACTAATCCTCAGGAAGGCTTACTCCTGGCTGATAGCTACAGGAGTAGGGAGCCTTCATAGCAGCATGGGAGATTATGGTCATCTCCTTATGCTTAAAGCTCCTTGAAAGAGCTTTCTATAGCATTCTGGCTTTGCGTAACAGCCTATATGCTTTGAAAAACACAGTCAGAATATCTCAAGCTGGAAGGGATGCAAAGGGGTCAAGGATACAAACAGACTGTGAGTGGATGGTTAGGTTAACACACTCTTCCTCACTCTTTCAACACATACAGTCAGCTTTCAGGGAATAGTCTTAGTCTCAGTGTACTGAATCATCATTTTCCTTCCCATAACTCTTGTTTTGTATTTTGCATGGTGGCTCAGTTTCGAGGGGAAGCATGAGGCAAGCCTTTAGCCAGCCTCTTCCATAGGATAAGGACACTCATTCTTCAAGGAGGTGAAAGCTGGTGTGCTGAATAGGCTGCATGGGACAGAAATGAGGGGGAAAGTGTCTAACCATACAATGATTGTTTCTGCAGTGGTACCAATGAGTGCCAGTGGAATTGATCTAACACATGCTCTTGATTAGCTCCTTGGAACACTGGACCTCCTCCCTGAATCCTAAGTGAGTGATTTCTGATCAGCGTTGTTGCTCAACCCTTTGTGGCCTAACAGCTGCAAAATGCCATAACCATTGAGTTTCTGTTGAAATAGTATGTAAAAATTAAAAATGCATCTCAAGTACTGTGGTCAACCTTAGAGTAAAACCAAAACATTTTGCAGATAACCATTATTTTGTTGCACTGTTTTTATTTCTCAGCTATTTTGGAATTAATTTTCAAGTGTACAGTACATCTACATAGCTTGTAGAAGTCATAGCTTTCCTTAATTTAAATGAATAACCTACTTAATAGTCTCACTGTATGTGTTTAGTATTTTCAACATATAACTAATTTCAGATAATTGTCACCTTAAACAGGTAGCAGGATCAGAGATATATCCATAAAACTGACTTTGCAAAGCACTGTATTGTACTTAGATTTTGACATGTAGATAGTTCACTGCACAACACATACTGAATTCATATTTTGGGCACTTGATCTAATGCATTTTTTTATGTAAGATAAAATACACAGAGCAAGGGCACTGTTGGATTGTGTTTGTTAAAACCTTTTCAAAAACTACAGTAAATTACTACAGCAAATTGAAAAAGCACTGAGATTCACCATTCATAGGTGAAATTATTGCTGTTCATATTCCAGAAACAAGTCTACTCATCTAAGCATAGAAACTTGTTTTTTAACAAAAACTATCTGTAAGACGTTTGTTTTGTTTATAGAAGATAAGATTATTTTAACCAATGAGATCACCACATAATGGCTGTTGATATAATTTCATATGTGTGACAGAGTAGGAAGTTATATATAGATGCAAAATAAAAAGCAAAGCCTTACAAAAAAACCCCAACCATTTCAAGAGATCAATACAGAAAACAGCAGGTTCATGCTAATGACTTCACCAAGGCAAAGTAGCTGAATGAAGTTACGCACCATTGCAACACTTCACAGAATTTGCAGCTTAAATTAAGAGTGAGCTGTTTTTTTAGCTGTCCCTTCACTAGTCATTATGGGTTTTGCTTGGTTTTTGCCTTTCAAACCTTTCAAGCTCACTTGTCCCTAAGACTGTTGATGCTAGGTTTGCTGATTCAGATGTTTGCAGATATACATTCTCTGTGCTACAAGGGTCTGAGAAAAGATTTTATTCAAATCTGCACATACAGAAAGGCACTTTGTTCCCAAGTAAACTATTAATAGATTGCTTTTCCTCTCAAAAGTAATATTTATTTATGAATATTATATATTGCTGCTGTAAATTTTTTTCAGTTATATTTGTCTTAGAAATCTTGAAGTACAAAAATTTTAGAAACAAAATGAAACCCACATCTATTCATTATTTGTTGTTTATAATTATCTTATAAAAATTTTAAGGGAAGGAAATTCAAATGCTAAGATAGAATCAAATTTCCATGAGTATCAGAAGCCCAGTCCTGTGGAATTCTGTTGGCTTATCAAAACTTCATTCACATGCATAGATGCAGAATGCAAACCAGATGTTAATTAGTGTAAATATTACATATTCCTTGGTTACAATTTTATAACATTTTCTCTGATAGTATTTAAATTTTTTCATTATTCCTTCAATTTGCTAAGCCTTTCACTTAGTCACAGAAGAGGTCAGGTTGGAATGGATTATAGTCATTCATCTGGTCCAACATCTCTGCTACTCTCTGAGCACATGGCACAGAATTGTGTCCAGGCAGTTCTCAGATATCGTCCCTGAGGGAGACTCCACAATTTCTCTGGACAATCTGTTCAAGTGCTCAGTCACCCACATGGTAAAAAATTTTCCTCCTATTCCTGTGCATCAGTTTCTGCCCATTGCCTCTAGTTATTGCTTGGCACCACCAAGAAAGAGCCTGGCTCCATCTTCTTGACACCCTCCACTCAGATACTTGTAGACATTGATGAGGTCCCCTCTCAGCTGTCTCTTCTTGAGGCTGAACAGGCTCAGCTACCTCAGCCTTTCCTTGTAAGAGACATGCTCCTGTTCCTTGAGCAACTTTGTAGCTGGACTCACTCCAGGAGCTCCATATCCCTCTTGTACTGAGGAGCCCAGAACTGGATACAGCACTCCAGATGTGCCTCACCAGGGCTGAGTAGAAGGCCAGAACTGGATGGTTGGATTTTATGATCTAAAAGGTCTCTTCCAACCTTGGCAATTCTATGATTTTGTATAGGATCACCTCCCTCAACCTGCTGGCAATGCTCTTCCTAATGCACTCTAGGATTCCACTGGCCTTCCTGGCCACAAGGGCAAACTGCTGGCCCATGGACATCTTGTTATCCACCAGAACACCTTCTCCTTTATCCAGGTATGCAGGTCTCTTGCCCACTTTATCTGATTTCTTGCTCATCTGGATTCACTGCTCTTGAGCCTAGAGGAAGTGATCCCTAACTCTCTTGGATCTCTCTTCCCTGCAGGTCCTGTTCCCATGGTATTCTTCCAAGATCCCTGAGCAGGCTAAAATTAACTCTTTTGAAGCCCATGGTAAAAATCTTGCTGCCCTGCTTCATCCCCTCCTGGTACTGAACTCCACCTCATGGTCATGACAGTCAAAGCTGCCTCCAACCTCCACATCTCCAACAAGGCCTGCCCTGCTTGTTATCACAGGGTCAAGCAGCACACTATTCCTTGTGGGATCTTCCACTACCTATAACAGGAAATTGTCGTCACTGCTGTCCAGAAACCTCCTGGACTGTTTGTGCTTTGCTGTGTTGCTTCTCCAGCAGATGTCCAGGTAGTCAAAGTTTCCCACAAGAACCAGAGCCTGTGACTTTGAGGCTGCTTCAAGCTACCTGTAAAAGACCCCATGCAGTTCTTCCTGTTCAGGGGTCTTGTAGCCAACAGCCATAAAGTGCCACCCTTACTAGACTGCCCTTTTATCCCAACCCATAACTTATTCTAAGTTCCATAATTTGCACACTTGCTGTCTTGCTTCATAGCTAAAAACATAAGCCAGAAATCAAGCAATTAATAATGTAATCATCCATATTTGGGCTGTAAAATAGTACACAACCAGCTCAGTCACTCCTTACTCAAGCAAATATACTGACGGGACAAAAAGGAAGGAACATTTTGTGCCACACCATTGACAATGACTCATGTAACGGCATTGATGCCCAAACAGAGCAGGTAAATTAAGTTATTAATTGAGCTTCATTAACAATGTGTTTTTAAAGTCACCTCATCTGTGAGACAGTGAAACAGTACCATCAACACCATTTCTTGCAAAGGAAACTGCAATAAAACAGGTCAAGTGAAATAGCCAAAACTAAATCCTGACTAGGAAATACAGGAAAGAAGTGCTTGACCTATACTGACAATACTGATGAACCTCAACAAAACAGCTATTTGTTCAAGGCTATCCTAAGTCTGAAACCCTTGAACAAGATATCCTCTTTCCCCTGTGCTGTCAGCAATACAGAGAAGCATGATAAGTACACAGAGATAGGCATCACTTCATTCTGCTTCATTGAACAGCACTTGCATGTAAACCTCTCCCTTCATTTATCTTTAATCTGGTTCTCAGACCAAGGCATTCACAGTTCAGAGACTGCCTGGACATCAGTCTACATGTGGGATGTGATGACTGAATGCTTCTCAACAACTGTTTTTGTTTTTCTTCCTCTTTCCTTCACTTCTTAAACTACCTTTATCTTGATTTATGAGTTTTCTCACTTTTGCTCTTCCTATTTTCTTCTCATCCCACTGGAGGACAGGAAGTGAATGGCTGTGTGATACTTAGATGCCAGCTGAGGTCAATGCATCACAACCAGAAACTTAAAGAAGTACTTGTCAGGAATATGAAGACCAAGAGAAATCACTCACTAAGATATTAGAAAAGGCATGTTTAATAATTATGAACTTTCCTGAGAAGCTCTAAGTTCTCACACTGCTTATAGTTTGGAAATAAGGCAAATCAATTTAATCTAAATATGAAAACCTGTTTTATTTCAATTGTTTTAATATATACTTTGGTCCAAGAATTGGAGCTTTGTAAAAAAAGAAAGCTTCCAATATTTTAAACAAGCAAAACTAAGTTCACTAAAAAATAATTTCATTATTAGAGCAGGAGGCAGAGAAAGGGGATAGATACTTAGATAACATTACCTTTCACTGTTCTTTTTACCACTAGATGAACTGCTGGTGGAACCAGTGCGGTTGCGACTCCCTTTGGAATCTCCATAGCTTTCCCTCCGACCTCCTGGGGACACACGCTCAGCTGAACTGGTTCTCTTAATGGTGCTAATAAAACAAGGAGCAAGTTTCACAGTGGCACTTGTAAAGGTATATTCTACAATAAATATTTTTGAGAAATGTATCAACACTGACCCTAAAACAATAACTATGATTTTTCAAAAAACCTTAACTTGATTTGTTAAAGGGCCTAAGTAAGAGTTTTGCTGAGTACCTGGTGCAACAGAGACAAACATACTGCTTTTTCATTAATCATAAAATAGAAGCTGGGCTAAACCAATTCCATAGAGTAGTTGGAATCATTTTTCCAGGTCACGTTTCAAATCCCTGACTACCACACCATATTTCTGAACTTTTGGATTCTCTTATAAAGAAGTGAAAGATTTATTGCCTGACATTTCCAGCCAGACTACAGAGAATGCCAAAAGTATTGTCAAAGTTTGAACACAAGCAAGCTAACTTTGGGTCTTCATCCAATATCAATTACTCTGTGGTTCAAAGCTAGTTTTAACATACTCCAAACTGCAATTAATGATGAGCTAACCTGCATTGTTTTTATTGCTGACAAAAATGTATGCTTCCTATGCTTCCTAGTTACATGTATGAATAGATTAGATTCCCCACATGTCCTGACAGGAGGTTTCTCAAAGGCTTAAAGCTCACCCTACCCTCTCACACTTCAACCATCCTTCCTGCCAAGATAGCTATCAAAGGAGCTCCTGTGTGGCTTTATGGCACCCCTTAGACATCCAGCTCTCTCTGACGGAAAAATGTGAGCTAAAACACAAGCAGTGTTACTTAGTAAATTAAGAGAAGTTCAGTCAAAACTTACACTTTATATGAGACAAATTATTAACGAAAACACTTCTCCCTAAAGCAGTACTTCCTAGCAAGAGAGGGAGCAGCTAAGGGTGAGGCCACAAAGTGGGTAATGCTTTACACGTTGCTGCAGGCCCTTTGCAGCAGAGAGGCTCAGGCAGCAGTGCCCAGACTGAGGCAGGAACCATCCCCATGGCAGCAGCTGAACTACAGGACTCAGTGTCAGGGTCTCATTTTCCCCCATTCCAGTCCTGTACAGCTTTCTCCCCAGCAAAAAGCACAATGCAAATAGCTCCTTTAAGCCACAATATCCCCATACTAAATAACCACCTTTAGCAGCTCTCTCACCCCAGAAACCAGGGACACCAATGACTGCTTTCAAGCTCACATCTCTCTGCCTAAATCCCAACCACAAGTTCCATCCTACTGTGAAAACTTCGTACTTGCTCCTTTAAGGTCAGTCTCGTCCTAGTCACACCTTTTATCATTCCCAGCCACCTCCCCCTTGGCCTCCATACACCCCCTGAGATGCTTTGCTTACCAGAATATTCATCTCATGCATTCTTGAAGACTATTCCAAACATCCCAATCAGTCCCTAATAGCTATCCCTACTCTGTCATCTCAGTCAGCTTCTCTGGCTCTGTCCTACTTTATGTGTGGAGTTACCTCTCCATGACTAGAGGACCTAAGATAGATTTTTCTGTCTGGTCAAGAAATGCTTAGCTTAGCAACTCTACTAAGCCTGCTTTAAAAACACCCCAAACTTATTTCTGCTCCCTCATGTCTTTTTACCAGCAAGGAGGGGAATGTTTCAACACCTCAGCGGAGGTTCAGTTACAGAAACGATGGGAACACCTGAACCAGAGTCTTTCTGCAAAGCAATTGCCCTTCTGAAAAGAAGCAGCACCCGTCCAGGGGCAGATCTGCAGAGGCGATGCATGTTAAGGGGCATCTCAGGCAGCTTGACAAAAAACCTTCTGGTACATGCGATGGTAGGACAGATAGATGTTCAGTGCTGCATTCTTGTAATAAAAACAAGCTTCAAATGATTAAGCTGAAATTTTAAAAATAGTGTTTCCGTGGAGAAAGCAATATAAGAGAGCAAGCAGAATGCAAAATGACACAAAGACAGAACAAAATACATTCATCGGGGAAGAGAAACTGCAGCAATAAGAATTTAGTTCTGTCTTAATTTCAGAAGTGTACTTCCTACTCTAGACTAACATTATCTAAGTCATCTCAATGTGAGATGCATGAAAAAAACCTTCTCTAGTAAATTAAATAATATACTGTTAATACTTAACTATTCTCCCTGCATCATAACATTATCCAATTTAATACCACTCCAGTTAAAAAAATAAAACCTTAATACTGAAAATGTTTATTCCACATTAAATAGCTTTATTAGCATTTGCCTTCCACTATTACATACATTAATAACAGAAACATCCTGTGTGATTTGTCAGGATCAAATATTTATTTTGGCATACTTTCCCAGTTAAGAAAATTTCAGTGTAGGCTGATGTTGACACATATTATCTTCATTAAGGATAAGAGACGTAAACATCAGCCTACACTGAAATTATATTAAGGACATTATCAAAGTATACCAATCTTGGAAAAAATTTAGTTGCAGAAACAGTTTGAAACTAATTTTAATGTTGCTTGTGGTTTTATTTTTATAGTTGTCAACACTCAAAAGATGAAATAGAGGATACAAAATGAAAGGGTGGGACTAAAATTTAAAAGTTTAATTCTATCTTCTTTCTAAATAATGAAATCTCATATCAGTATAAAAACTACTTTAACCACAGGCATTAAATTCTTTTAAACTCTTATGATTTATGTCCATCCCTGCTTAAACTAATTAGTAATGTTATCTTCTGACAAATTTTATTTTAAACTTTCAACAACAGCAGCAAAAGCCCAGTGAGAAGTATTGGTTGTTGGAAACAAAGATTATAACTCCATTATATTAGCTCAGTTTTGGTATTATACACATTTTGTTAGCTAGATTGTTAAACACCAGTGATTATATCCATGGCTACAGTAGATACACTGTCACCTGAGGAGGAATTTAAGATGACAGAAAACAGTCATTCAACTTACAGGTTTGCAAGAGTATAACTGGATTCCAGAATTTGACTTCCACATTAGTGATATGAAAGGAGAGCATTTGCAATTATTTAAAAAGATAGCATTTAGTTACACAATTTTTAACATTTAAGACAGAAATGTAGTCTAATACCCCCATAAAAAATTATGTTAGTATGAAATAATGCAGATACCATCACTGACATTATTATTATCTAAGTTGTGTTGCATTTATCAATGATGAGAAAGTTTTAGGCATGTACTTCTGGAAATGTTAAAAATGGCAATAATAATTACAGTTCTATCATGTTAATGCTTTTGCTAAAACACTCATTTTCTATGTGTTGAATTGAAATGGAAAGGAAAAACAATTGAACTTCAACACTACAAAGCTATTAAGGATCCCTCACCTTAGAGCAGGCTTTTTCAGTTTGCATGCATTGAGAAGATTCACAGACCTGCTTAATCCAGATTGAGAGGTGCGTAAACAAAGCAGAATAAAAAGTGAATGCAACAATAAAATGTGGAAACAAGACATTTACAAGACTTACATTAAAAGACAAAATTGCATGCTTTCAAGATATGAAGTCACGTGCAAGAGTAAACAACAAAGTGCTTATTGACTCAGATGTTTGATCATTTCAAACCATACATTTAAGAACACCAATGTATCTTTGAATGACAAAATCTCAGCAGTGCCCCAATAGACTGACCATTTGTAAAGCCACTCAGAAATAAAATTAAAAAAAATAATCAAAGAGGATATCTGAAGGAACACGACAGATGATCCAGCTAAAAGACAAAGACTATTAAAAAAGCAACAACAAAGACAAGAAAATAAATCCTCATATATACATACATATACCACTGCATAGCATGAATGTTTCAGGCAGTTGCATTACTGAATTGTGGTGAACAAATCTGGCCAAAATTAAAAAGATATATACTTTATTACTAAAATTATTTGGGAAAATATAAAAGCTTTTTAATAAAATAAATTAAAAACCAGCCCACAATGCTCTTAAGACAGAAACTGATGGCATTAATATTTTGTCTAGCACTCATTCTGACCCTCATTTAAATCAATTAGAATTAACTCAGGAATAACATATGACTTTAATTTCATTACGCCTCTGAGCAAAATGCACTAATAACTTTAATTGTTAGAGATATTGTGAAGTGGCGTAATAGCTTTGCCACCCGACGTTCAATGGAGAGGGATTTCTTTTTCAATTTATATTCCAAATATTTTAAACCATTTTCTTTGAGAGACAAGTGTTACACGGAGCATTTAACTGAAGGTTTGATTCAGAGTTTGTGTGTGTGCCAGTTACAAACCGTCACTGCTCCCCAACAGAACGCACAACATTAATTCCAGGCGACTGAACAATTTCCTAGGGGCCATGTGTTTAGAGTTTAGAAGAACAGGAATTTATCATATTAAAGTATTTTATTCTCCCTGCAAACAAAACTCTTTATGTTTTCTTTGTTCCTGCTTCTTCCTTTTGATCTCCATTGTCAGGGTTTTGCACCATTGTAATACTTTGCAATCTGCTGGGGGAGAAAGAATGACTGATTGTCTCCTTTTGAAAGGCAAAGTATGTGCAAGGCTGCAGCCTGCACCAGCATCCCTACTGGGAAAGGTACTGTCTGTATTCTCCTCCCTTACTTTTTTTTCCTCCCTTTTTCCCCCTCAACTCTTGGAAACAAAGCTATCCTAGATGAGTCACAAAACCTTCAATTTTAATAGGGAACACAAAACATTACTACTACGCACTGGCCAAATTCCAAAGACGAATTTAGTGTTAAGCAGCAAACTTCAAGCCACATTTCACAACAAAGAAAGAGTGCAGGGGGAAGGGAAAGTTCTGCTCATGATACACTAAACTTATATTATCCAAAAAGAAAATTTCAGATAATTATTCTAAGCACAAAATTTAGAATAAAACTATGGCAACATTCAAAAAGTTGTTACTCAAAATAGGTCATAAACTTCTAAATCATGGAATTAGTAACTATATTAAAATTCAAATCAAATCCTCTGCTCAAAGGTTTCTCGTGAAGATGACATGCAAACACTTTTCAAAGCCAGGCAATTCTTGATTATCCATCTGTGTCAGGTGATTGCTCAGCCCATCTCAGAATCACTCCAGCTGTTAGCTGGCTAGCACCCAGAGCCTCCCAGCTATGTTCACATGGTCCCCAGAGCCTGAGTCCAGCAGCTCCTCTTGGTGCTTGACCACAATTTTTGGTCCCAGTACCCCAGCATCACCAGGCTTTCTATCTTGCACTGTATTACCACCATCTACTTTTATAATGCAGTTTATAATCCATGTTTTGGATTTGTGCTTTTACTCTATTCAACTTATTTCAGTCCTTCCTTAACCTGGATAATTGGGTATTGACTGTATGAGATCTGAATGCTGAAGTGGGGTTTGGTGCCCTCAATTCTAATTGAAGTCAGTCAGTTGAGGTTACCCAAAGCTTTGCAAGATCTGGATCTAATTATCACATTAGGCCCTATAACAACCTACTGATATCCAGTGATACATGTTTTACATATGGAAAAGCAATGTGCATAGAGGTTAAATGATTTGCATAAGGTCACTGAGAGAATATATGGCAGAACTCAAATAAAAGCCTGCTAGTTCCACCCTTTCAGCCTCAAGCCTTTTTTTTTTTACCTCCAATTTTATATTCCTGCCAGAAGAAGTCATTTCCATTTCAAATATTAAATGGCAAATCAGAAAATGTAGAGAACTCTGAACCACATCTCCTTGGTAATCCAGCAAGGCAGATAAGCCATATACCAACCTGCGGGTTCAAACGAGTTAACCAACACATTTAATACAGCTATTGTATGAAATGAGATTGTGTCTGCAGACATACCAGTAAATACATTTATTTCTAAGCAGGAAAATGTATGGATGCACACTTAGTCCCACGCAGACTATTTGCATATATTTACATAAATAATGCAAAACAAACTGTTTCAAGGGACAGATTGATGTCATTTCAATTGGACATCATACAGTCTTAACCTAAACAGTGCTAAGTATAGGAGAAGACAGGAATCACAAATAATTTGATTGTAAGCCTTCTTTTCATAAGGCAGTAAAACATTTGGGAAAGACTCCATTCACCTACACTTTTTCTTGGATATACGGTCACAGGTAATAAAAAAAAGGAAGACAATAATTTTTATTATTCCAATCCTAGCAGATATTTGTCAGTCTCAATAGCAGATTACAAGTTTAGAGGATGATTCATCAAAAATATTTTTTTATTTCCTATTGTTGTTTTAAACTTTACTTTCACTTTTCAAATTCTACCTTTTCAACTGTGCACCTGTCTTGTATAGAAAAACTACTAAAAGCATTCAAGCAGAAATTTAGTTTTGAAACATCTATAAACACCTAATACTATTTAGAGCTGCTGTGTCACATGACCATATTTTGGACTAAAGAATACCTACACTACAAATTAGTCACAATTCTGGAAGCAGTTCATAAGAAAAGACCACTGCTTAGCAGAAATCAGAAGTAAAAAAATAGCTCAAAATTTCCCACCATCTGGAAAATGTGCAATGCTGAGAGAAGCTGCTAGCACAAATAAACAAGTCCTACCCTTTGAAAAAGGAAGCTATTTGATTTTGCTGATGTATTTCCATTACAGTTTTATGCATAAAAACATGCAGATCCTGAAGGTAAAAGGGTCCAGTATAAACAAAAAGTGTGATTGAATTAATCTTAAGGATGCATAATGAATCATTCTTCCCGACTGTACACAAGAAAGATATTTGGAGCACTTACTGTATCATCTTTGATTAGTGAATATATGGAACACCATTTACTATAAAACTCTGAAATATGACCAGTTGTTTCAAGGTTCACTACCAAATGATTACGGTATAATTTACAAAAAATGTTTTGTACAGTAATTAATTGATGAGGTCCTTACTATTCCATTTTATTACTCTTGAAGTATATTTATAGGCAAGGCATACAAATATGCTTTAACATAGTTTAATAAAGGTAACAATAAGCATTTTCATGTTAAAGACACCAATACAGAAGTTTAGAGCATTTGAAGGGAACAATAATTCTACAGCACCTGAATTTATGACTGCATTTTTCAGGACATGGAGCCAACCCACTCTCCTAAGCACTCTTAGTAAGTATTCATTTATTTCATCAAAATTGTTAATATATACATTTTCTTTTCTAAATATACATTTTCATGATGCACATTTAAAGCACCTTCAGCCTAGCTTCTTCAATAATGAGAAGGGACAAATTATAATGAAAGGACACTAAATAGTTGCCCTGTGGAAGAATTTCTCCCACAGAAATCAAGACAGTCTAAAAATACTCCCTAAGGATGCTCTCTAAGGACTTTCCCACTGGCATTCTGGGTATGCAGGCTGCACATGGGTCAGGTGGAAGGGATACAGGGTACCACTCATCTGCAGGGATCCTCAGCTAGGATAATGCCCACAGGCTGCAGGCAATATTAGATGGAACACCTGAACTACACAAAGGCCTCCAAGAACAGAGAAAGCATGAGTATGCTCCTGACCTGCACTTCATCCACACTACTGTGGGGCAGAAAGTCCTATGCTGAACCCTAGAGACACAGCACAGAGACTCAGGAATCACACCCTCTGTACACAGGTGAAGTCTCGCAATACCTGTGCTCTTATATGCTTTATAACTACTAATTGAAACTTAATTAGGAAGAATGAAATTATGATAATTATTGAGAAAGAATAATTTATAAAGAACAAATTTGTTTTAAAATTCAGAGTGTACTCTTTTTTAAACACGAATACATTTCCTTTCGTAAAAGGAAAGTTTTCACCGGTTTTCAAACTTCTGATAACACAAATCTAATAATGGAACAGTTTGGACAGTACTTGCTTTCCTTCTCTTCCGTTAATGGCTGATTCAGACCAGCCTGCCAAAGCCTAAGCTGCAGCAAACTCCAGCTCATAAGAGCTCACAGGAGTTAATTTTTGTGACATAAACAAATAAGGTATTTTCCAGTTGTAATTGTGCACAGTATAACTCCTCTCTACAATAACAGAACCTAGAGTTTCTTGAAAATCAGCCCCCTTCAACACAGTAGCAAAAACTGGCATATCCTTAGCCACCATCTCCCTTTTGAGGAAAAATTCTCTTTATGAGACAGACCTCAGATCTTAGCAAGTTAATGCTCTCATCTCTACAACTTACCCTCCCTCAGAGCTGACAGCATCATCACCACAAAAAGATACGGATACACACAAAAGAAATGTAAAAAAAAAACCCAATCCAAACTCCAAACCCTACACTATTATCTTTTACACACATACCAGGCAGCAGATCAACACCACAATAACTGCCATGTATAACCTGAACTTGCTTCACCCAATCCATTCCATTCCTTATAACCCAGATGTATAAAACATTTAGTCAATTTAAAAACAGCTACACACAAAGCAAATTGGGACAGAGCAGTAATTTCTAAAAGGGCTTAAATACATGCTAATGGTAAGATATCTAAAGATGGATGTTTTCATTTGCATAAATATGTGCTAGGCAGAGAATTTTCCTCCTCCCTGAGATGCTGCTAACCTTGTGCATGCAGTTTATATGATAATTTTGTTAGTGAGAGAAAACTACCAAGGATAACATACTGATTTGCAATGATAACACTGTTTCTCTGCAGACTGTGTATTTTCTGTTAGCTAATCAAAGAATTCTCGCACCACTTTTTACGTCATGTTGGGTAACACTACAGTAGAAATGCTTTATTCTCGCTATGCTAAATTCTTAAAAGCAAGAAATGAACACAAACCAGTAAGATCAAGCATTGTGCATTCTCTCAATACGGTAATAACCTTAATTGTAATTAGAATGAATAAATTGAAAGCCTCTTAGAATGAAATCCATCTCCTGTTCTTTCCAAACTAAATATTCAGACTGCTGCTTTGCAAGTAAGAAAAACTGCATATCTAGAAGGTTACAAGAGGAGCTATTCCATGGCTATAAGGTTTCTCATAGATGCCTACCTTTTTGCTGCTGGTGATACAGTCTCCTTTCTGGTTCCTGATGGAGAAGGTAAAGAGCCACTTGGTTTCTTTGGTAATACAGTTCCATTGTTAACTGTAGTCCTTAAAGGCAGGGTTTGTACCAGTGGTCTTGCTGTAAAACAAGCATAAGATGAAGTCATTGCCTTCATTTATTTTTCTGTGTTTTTTCTCAGCAAACAACACTAGAATATTTTAAATTTTCCACATAGTGCGCCATTTTTGTGTCACTATGGTCAAATTCAGCATAGATGAGGATTTTAAAATTGAGGAATTTTTAAAAATTACTATGATTATTATTATTATTCATAATGAAAGTAAAAACTCTGTCCTAGATCAAGGAGCTTAGTAGTAAGCACAAAAGTAGTTGTTGTCCTCAAAACCAATCCTGCTCTGTCAAAGGAGCATCAGTCTCTTGCCCACCTGGATAACATCCAGAGTGCTAGAAATGAAGGCAAGTTGTCATCCCAGAAACTCCATCTCTTCATCCTCCAATCTTCTTGGAGGTTTTCCAAAAGCAAATTATCTATTAAGAAATTTCTACTCCCCCAAAAAGGTCTTTTTTCAAAGAATATGGGCTTATGTTTGACAGAAGGATTTGTATCCTTTATTCAGAAAAAGCTACTGAAATCAGCAGAAGAGTGAAGGTAATAAGCTGGCATCATCTACCTACATTCTTTTCATCAAATATTTGCTCAAAAAAAGGATATACATGTCATAGCTGTAATTAAAATTAGAATAACAGAAAGGTCCCATTCAAGTAGTTAGAAGTTAGTTGCAAAAACAGTGTTTAAAACTGCAAGCAATGAGTATCAATATGAACACTACTGTGGATCATAGCCTCAAAACACAGACACAAACATGACTAGTGCTCTCTCTACAGCAGGGAAAAAAGCTTGAATCACTTGAAATTTGACAGGACTCTGTATTACAAGCCATTGTAGAGATGCCAAAAGCCTCTGGGTTCAGAGAAACACCACCTGAGAGAACACAGAAGTCACAAGTCACTTTATCACTTTAGGAACATAAAATTTCATTGAGCTTGGAGAGGATGGCAGGAAGAATACCTATGATATGCTCTTCAAAAAGATTATGAAGGATAAAAGATCTCAAAGGTTAAATGGAAACAGTACCAATTGTATGCTATTATAGGTCATATTGTAAGAACATCTTATTCTAGCACTGACAGCAAGCATTTATTGACTTGTTCATCCTAAGTTTTCATATACTGAACAAAAAGATAGATGTGAAAAACTGTACCTTCAGAAGATTATCAGTAAATAGAGTCTACCAAAGAATGCAACTTGCATGACAAACTTCGTCTCGAAACTTTGTTAGAATACACACTTACTTGTTATGTATTTGTCATTTATTTGTTCAGAGGAGAGAAATTTAGAAAACAACCTATAAGGGAAATACTGAAGGAGTGAGGCTTATTTGGCTTAGAAGAGTGAAGGATAAGGGAAAGAAAGTTAACAAAGGAGATAAAAGAAGAAAATTTTCTCCTTGCTCACTGAGGATGCCTTCCAGCCCTGCCCTGCATGATCTGTTTTAACTGACTAATGCTGTATTTAGAGCTCATACAAAACATCTGAAGTTTACTTGGCTTTCCAAGCCTCTACTTTTTTATTCATGAATTCAGATATCTTAATTCTATTTACTTCTTCTTTACTCATTTTTTTGGTATATTATATTCTTTCTACAGTTTTGTGCTGGAAGCTCTGCTGCTTGTTTCTTAATTGCTGCATTCCATATGTATAAATCTGATTCTGTTGCATTCTACAGAATCACAGGTAGCTACAGTTGAGAAGCTGTGGACATGTCTCCTGACAAGCTTTCTGTAGCTCACAAAACTTTAATGAGCTTTGAGAAGACAAATTAGAACAGCAATTGAAGTTTAAAAAAAAAATTATTAAAATATTTTTCTTATTTGTAGTTATTAAAAAAGAATGCCTATTAAAGAGCAGCTGGAGTGAACTAGCTGGAGTTTGTTTACTCTCCTAACCTTATGAAATCGAAACTAGCAGCAGCCAGGAATAAACCCAGCAACATTTAACAGAAGTTTTGGTTGAGATCCAGCACCAACCCACAATCTGGAAATAGAGATTTAAACGGTCAGCTAGTGTAGAAAGCATGACACTCTTCCACAACACACAGAAAAACTCTGCATTATTCAATAAACCCACTGTTTACTCGGGAGCTATTTAGTTTTACTTACAACAACTAGTTCACACCAGTGGTAACTGGCATCACAGTCACACAATCCCAAACATGTCATTGCTGTTAGAAGTCAGTAACACACTGCTATTACTGCTTTGTCAGTAATGTTTATTTTGGAAGTTCTGGTGCTTCAAGGTCTTACCTGTGGTAGCAGGACTGACAAGTTTATCAGCCTCAGCAGCAGCTTTTTTAATCATACTCTGATCTATGGATTAATAGGGCTGTTAAGTTTACAAACAAAACCAATAATTGCAAAAGGAAAAAACAACAAACACAAGTAAAACAAAGGCAGGAAGCCATACTGAAACTCCACCAAGTACTAGAATTAAATAAGGAAAGGAAAAAAAAAACCCAAACAACTAAACAAAAGCTCAAAACACCATTAGGGAAGGAGTTCCACAAATGGACAAGATAAGCCGCTCCCTTTCCATGATGTATGCTGCTTTTAAGCTCCTTAACTCAAGTTTAGAACAAGAATACAAAGACTGAAAAACAAGCTCAAGATTTTTCCATTATAGATTTGAAAGTCTGAAACTTGAAGTCTTTAAATTAATTTTAAATCTGAAGTACTCAGAAAAATTAAGTTTTCCCCCTGAAGATTTTTGTTCCAGACTTCATAAAGTACCAGGGGGATCCTGTTTTCCAAAGGCACAGACCTCCCCCAACACACACAATCCTGATCTACTTCATCTATATAGATGTAATGAAAACAGCAGCATACAGTATGCTTCAAACACCAGTTTGTTTGGACACAATTTCTGTGACATTCTGTGGGATCAAATTCCACTTTTTAAAATTTCCAGTGTGGAATTAGTCATAAAACAAGACAGGGAAAAGAAACCGGTTCAGTCCATGCAGTCCAAGGGATAAAGCATGAGAAGCCACCACTGCAGCTCCTCCTATGTCTAAAAAAGCCCCTCTCCTAAGAGTCGCCATCAGGAGCCTCAATAATGCTATTCCAAACTAAAATTAGTCTTATGCTAAGTAACTGCATACAATTTGTTATAAAGTAGTTGTGCCTACTAAAGAATAATAGGCCATCATGTGAAATATATCATATTTGACAAAACAGCTGGAAAAAAACAAGTGATCAGAATACTTCAGATTCTCTTTCATGTTCATAATTCATGTTTAATAAGGTTGACCATACACTAAATGATACAGCTGATGTACAGCAAACTGGATGTTCTTTACATGAACAGTCACAGTATTGATCTTCTCCAGAAATTACGTGGGTTTCATTGGCAAATACCAAGACTCATTCTGGTAATTTGCAATGGAAGAGCAATTGACATTTGTATTTCTCTATTTGCACTATTACAGTAAAACTTCTTACACTGTAATTTCACACATACATTTAGAACCAGGCATGCCATATATACTACACACACAAAAATCCCACAAACAAACAAACCCCAACAAAACCAGCCACAGAAGACAGGGGGATAGGCTTACAGCAGCTTTTCTTCAACGTACATTGAACTATGGCTCTAATGGTCTGCCATGACCAAGAAAACCTCTCCTGATTTAGAGTTCAACTCTGCTCACAGAATCCATGAAAATCTGGTTTGTATTTTGCTAAGTAAAGCCAGCAGGCAAGAACAGATTTGGTTACAACTCAGTAATAATTACTAGAATTTATTTCCTCCATGCATCAGATAGTATCTATTTTACAGGCAACACGAAGCATTTTAATCCCTTGTAAAACCAGATTTGATGGAACATTATATCACAGTGGAGGCTACCTTTTGTAACATTTAACTTATCTGATATTTTAAATTTTTTTCTCAATAAAACAAAGACAAAATAAGGAGATTACAACAGAAAGGGAAGAGAACATGAAGACAAGATTGCAGATATTTAGTGCCTGTTCCACCTGACAGCTAGCATGAGACACAACCAACTCATTATTTGGCTCTGTAATTCTGTCCCTTTCAGCTTTCCTCATCTCCCAACACAAATTTGTAACAAATATGACATCTCAGTTCAGCAAATTAAGCAGTTCCTACCTAGTCTGTTAAATCAATGACTAGAAGTAAGTATTTTTTACAGGGTCGCAAATATATAACTGAGATTAAAGGAAGTCCTAACTTCAAATTGAGAAAATTATGAATCCCTAAATATGTAACATAATTCTCATGCAAAGTAAGGTTTTAATTAATATTACTACATATCAGGACCCCAAAAGAAGCAACTTTTTAAGTTAGACAACAGAGAGCCTGCGAAGTCAGTACTTTTTTTCCATATCTAGGTTGCCACTCTTACTCCTAAGACCACCTTTTGTGTTTCTCTAAGCTGCACTCAGGCAGTCTCCCAGGCCTTTGTAGCCTACACACTACAGTAAATCACATTGGCTGTGTTCTAATAAACCTTCACTCCTGTGAAGTGCTGGATGTTCAGGTCCAGATTTTCTGAACTGTGCACAGAAAAACCCATTCCTGCAGAGCAGGAGCCATGAGAGAGCACACTGTGGCATGTGGGTGCAGCACAGAATTCTGCCAAGCTGTGACATCTGTCACACCTTGCTGGCTCTGGCTCTGCTGCTCTGGAACATGGTCAGGCAACAGCCACAGCTCTACCTTTCCTTCATAGCTGAGCAGCTGGTGTTGTACCATCTCCTTAGTCATGTCAGCTCTGTGCTAGCTTAGAGTTCTGTCTTATGTCTGTATGATGCATACACACTTCAGACACTTTAAATTAAATTTTAATTACATTTTTTCTTAAGTTTAATTCATTTTTTAGGATAAAAAACACCCCAACCTATTAGGAGTTTCATCCACAGAAGACAATGCCTTCCCTAAGCAGTTTATAAAATACTTTGATCAGAAGTAAGGAAGTGGTAGCAATGGTTAAATGTAGATTGTGGATTAAGCATTAGGAAAATGCAAATGCTTTGCTGGTTCATGTAAACTGTAGAAGGCTCACAGACTTAACCATCTAGAATTTTATGTGTTCTTTATAATAGGTTGAATTTCAAATATATTTATTTAGAGTTTGATTTGTTGATTTTGAATATTTTAAGATCTAATGAATAACGTATTTTAATACATATTTAATACATATGAAACACTCATTGGACTGCACTATCTATTTTACATTGATCTGAAATGCAAACCTTTGGTAGGTCCTTTCTTGTTCTGCATGGCCTGCTGCTCCTCTGTAATATTCAAGCGTCGGACCACATCAGCAAGGGCAGATTTGAGCAGCTGGATGTCATCTTCCTGCATCTGGACACGCTGCTCCAGAGAGGCAATGCGATCTGTAACCTCCATACTGCTTGCAGCAGAGGCACTGTCATCTAAACAAAACAGCAGAAAAAAAAAATGCATTATCAGTAATGGATTGCCATCCAGAAGTAACTTAGGCAATTGGCTACAGGTAAAAACAAGGCTTTTCTCAGACCTGATGACTCCTTGGGGAAGAAGGTTTTTAAGTGACCAAAAGGAAGAGATGGAAATAAAAATAAATAAATAAAAGATATATACTTAAGTAAGATGTGATGATGAGGTTGGCTTCAGTTAACTAGTTGTTAATTGGGTTCCACTATCAATTATCTACATGTCAAAACTGCAGTGATCAACCATCACCCTTCACTGTTCTGCTCAACACAACATTCTGCCACTGCTGGGCATTCAGGTAAAGAGCTACATTTTCTGATATGCTACACAACCTTCCAGATTTTTCTGTCTCATGTAGGTAATAGAAATACATTATAAATACATAAGTAACAGATAGGCTTACACATTTTCAAGCTACCATACACAGACTGAAGAACAGATATTGACCCAATCTGCTAACCCCTAGTTTATACCAGCAGCTTTGAGAGCATTCCCTCTGACTGAAATAAAACCCTAAATAAATTCGGAATTACTCAGTAACTATACTCTAAGCCTGCAAGTTATTAAAATGGTCATTACTTTGCATACAATTCACCCATTATTTGGAAGTAACCCATAGAAGCCTCAAGACTGCAAATCCATGATGAGGACTACATGCTCTTTCCACTCAAAACTAGTAATAAGAATATTTTTCCTAAATGAGCACTTTTGTTTCTATCACATAGAAACACTGTCTCTTATTACAATATTAAGTTATGAGAAATAAGAAGAAAACAACGCCAAAGACATCAAAGTATCAAATAGGGAAATAATGTGCAGTTTTTAAAGAGAATTGCAAAGTTTTATTTAATTAGGCTTTGAAACCTAAAAAAAAAAGTTAAGTACTAACTTACTGGATGAGCTTAAGCAACATTAGTCAAGGATCATAGCTTTCAACTCATGACTTAGTAAGTCATTCTGTAGCAAAATGGATATATATGCTTCTATCTGCAAGCATAATTTACTTCTCCTTCATTCCCAATGCAAGTCTGCAGCCCGTGTTTCTTCTGTTAAAGCTGAGCTCTCTTTGCGAAGAAGGTGTATTTGTTTTCATTTCTTGTGTTCTTAATTCTCCTCCATTCCAAACCAGAATTTTCCACTTTTGTAAAGGGCACAAAACTTAAATGGTTTGTTTATAATAATAACTCTTGTTTAATTTTAAAACAAAATTAAGTGTTTAATAAAAGAAAACAACTGTTGCTGAGTACATCTAAAAGCATGTCCGAAAATGTAAATGCATACAAACTTTTAATCATAAGGGTCTAGGAAAAAATGGCTTTTTTTTTTTTTTTTTTTTAATCTATTCATCTCCAAACCACTCCAATACAGATTGGTTTTGAAATCTGTTAATCAGATCAGTTTTGGCTTCCTCATCCCTCACACCCTCAATAGCTATCTGTGGTTATCAAAGCTGAATTAGAAACAACTCAAAAACAATGTAATAATATTGCATTGTTACATTATGGTCCATAAATAGCTACAGGCCATTATAGCCTAAAGTGCTTGTTACTTCTGTTATAGGATTTTCAGACTTTATTTAAAATATCAGCATTAGGATATTATTAGGCTGAATATAGTAGTAAGGTAAGTATCTAGTTCTGAATGAGCTAAACCAGAACTCAATTTCCTGAAAAATGTTAAAAAAACTTTTCCCATGACAAAGCTTTACAAACTTTGGCCTAATCAGACTTCTGCTCAACACAGAACTCTGTCCTGTAGCTGTTACAGGTAATTAGTCCCCAAACTCAGAATAGCAGCTATGCTGGCAGCAGTAAGAGCTGCCTGCAGAACTTAACCTTTCCTCTACAAACAAAAGCCCCACACTGCTCTAATGACTTTACACTTTAACTCAGCTGGAAATAACGTGGATTAGCATACTGGACAATAGGCAACCAAATCAAAAGCCTGATTTAACCAATACAAGCCAAATTCAAACTTCAGCCATTCTGCCAAATTCAATATCATCAGGAACAGTTTTCCTCTGAATTCAGTCAACAAGAAATAGCCAAATCCCAAAACCAGGGCAGTAAAGGAAACCCAGTGGAAAATCAGTTGGTGTTGAAATGATCTACTCTTGCTACAAAAGAAAACATCCTCATTGAAGTATCCATTTCACTAATTTTAAGTGTGTAGGAACAGTGATTTTGCCTAGACATTAATCTTCCAAGTGGTAAATCAGTGTCACTGGTTTATTTACAGTCCTGTAAGAAATCACTCCTACTAATAACTACTAAGATGTCCAGTTCCTTCTTCCCCCTTCCCCCATCTGCCACTGTGACTCTTCCCCTCACACTCTCGCTGACCAACAGGCCCCTGCAAACCCTTTCTTGGACACAGCATCTGTACCTTCCACTCTCATCACTCTTGTAGGGTCCTGGCAATATAACCCTCATCCTTGCTGTAACCTACAGCTTTTTTGGGTTTTATGGTGGTTACCTCACTAGGTGCAGTTCCCTTCCAAGGATGCAGAAAAAAAAATAATTTAACAGCTTTCAGTAAGATTGCAGCTGGACACAAGATTGCTTACAGTCCAGTACCACTTCACTTTACCTCCTCTTTGCATGCATGTACAAGTAAGCTAGAAAAGAGGCACAGAATACAATAAAACCACATTTTATGAAAAAATGCAAATTCAATTTTAAAATAAGTGTAACCTGTTTGTTATGCAAGTTGAGGAACGTTCATGCCATTGAGATCATTACATCCCAGAATGATGAGCAATAAAAGCTGCACCTTCAACCCAGTCAAGCGAAATGGTTCAGTATCGGAAGAGAAAAAAACAATTAACACCATAAACCAACAATACAACATAAAAAATGCCACTGCAGATATCACCTACTCTGCCCACACAAGCAAGACAGGTATTGTTAGCCTAATTTGTGACCTGCCTCTGCAGTGTACCAGTCATCCTCACAGCAAAGGACATTTGCAAGGAATATTTTAGCACACATTTGTAATGAAATTTGGAAAGGCATATGAAGGAGACTGCAAATCCAGACAAATTGCCTTCAAGTGTTAGATCTCCCTATCAGTCACTACCACCCCTTGCCCATGGAAGGACAGAACAGATATCACACCACCTACACAGGTAGCATCAATAGCACAACAGAATTAACCATTACCTTTTTCATCAATGGGAAGGAAAAGGACTTTACAGTGAAATTTATGCAACATGTTTTTAGAACCTTGAAATGAGTCACTTTCTACAATGTTCACTTCTTTTCACCGATTTTAAGGCAAGTCTAAATCATTTTCTCAAACATGTAATCATAGAATGGTTTTGGTTGAAGGAACCTTAAAGATTCCTGCCCACCTGCAATGGGCAGGGAGTTAATCTACATCTCATGAGATAAATGCCACCTACAATGTCCAAAATTAGATAAAACAAAGAGGTATCAATTCAGATGCCTGATTTTTCATTGAAATACATATTTGTGGTAAAACTTGGAAAAAAGAATAATTTATCATTTTTGCCTTGCTGAGATTCTACAAGTTTCAAAGGAAAGGCAGCAAAAAAGAGGAACGTAGTACATGCCTCTCTAAATTGTCCAACCAGCTAATCCATGATCTCATAGATTGGACAGATTTCTCGTGGCAAACTAAAAGACAATACTGAGTCAGATGATTAATCTGCTTCCAGAGTGTATTCCAGTTTTACAGCAATTTATTACTTGAGCTTAGCCAAATGTGAAGAAACAGCTGAAGCAAAGCCAACAACAGGACGTGTATGCTGTTTACAAGAGTGATTTCAATACTATTTCATTGTATGTAGGCTAAAGCTACATTACATTCTGACACCATTAGTTAGAAGGAAGCCTATATTAGATGCATGCTATTTTCTATAGATTCCTGCCTTCTGAAAAACCTAAATCTTAACTGTATGTTAACATGCATGAAATAATTAAAATAAGACTTGGCATTCTTCCCCCCAGAAGAACTACTTTATTAAACATATTCCACCTTTGTAGACATTAATTTTGAGGCTATCTTGTCCAGCTCAGACCACAGCAGTTGACCATGCCGTGGAAATATTAGGTACTGATTGTCAAAAGAGCGGCAAACAAATTCGAGTTTATTCAATCTACATAGCTTCTTTGGAGCACCAATTAACAGGACAAAATTGCACATTAAGTACTTCCAAAATTGATTGCAACTGCGGTTGTTAGATACTTTTCTTATAATAGATTTTAAAAGCATCATCTCAAAGTCTTTGCAGAGATGCCCTTGTGTTTAGACACTCTGCAGGCTATCAGGAAAGAAAATGCAAGCCTTCTGAGGACAGCAAATTCCAGCAGTGGTCTTTGGCAAAAACTAAAGACAACCCACATGATGGAAAATATGGCAAGGGATGGTAGTGGAAAGGCAGCATCACCCGCACACAGAGCATCTCTTCTTCTAGCACAAAGACATAGACTGTGCCGGCAAGCCTGAATTGAGCTCAGCTGGTAGGAATATTTTCCATCTCTGAGTGATTTCATTAAGTGCATCACGTTCTGCACTTCTCCTGAAATCAGTTGGTACAAGTATTTACATTCCTTGGAAATAGCTATGAACTTCAGGGCCACTACTACAGCTTTATGAAACTGCACATGGACAGAAAGGAATTCTCCACTCTCAACATGCATCTAACTCTATGGCAGAACACAGCAGATGCTGAGGAAGCCACGCCATCAAATGAGAGAAAGTTAAAAAACAGCATTTATGAAAAAATAAGCAAACAAAAAAAGCACAATCCTGTAGATTAGGAGATCCATAGCCTGAATTTGACTCAGTATACTAGCAAGCAATTAAGAACACTGAAGATCCTACACTTCCAAAAACATCTTTCCACCCATAAAGGCCCATGGTTTTTGCACTCCAGTAACTGCAAAGCTGTCAGATGTGGCACAAGTCACTCGGCACACTTTTGGCAAGTTCTCCT